AAATATTTGACTGCCTCCCTCGGAACGACTCCCGCGTATAAGTGATGAATCCGGCTAACTTTCCGTCCTAGTGAATTCTTGAATCAGGTAGAAAGCTTTCGGATCTCAAGATTAATCTAATTTAAAAGTTTTTCCCAACGATTAAGGGATTGCGCGGAGAGATTGGAAAAGTTTTTGCTCGACCGGAAAAAGGTAAAGGGATAAATATATTGACAAAATTATAAAAAAAAACATTCCCTTTCTATGTTAAAAATCTTATACATTTTAGTTTCTTGTTGTCGGTAAAAAGTAATTTTCTTTGCGGAATTGTGAGTGAAAGAATCAGGAAAATGCAATTACAAGATTGTAAGTTGGTGAAATGAAAGTTTTGCCTGTGGTAAACAAAAGAGAATGACTGTACAATCAACCTTTGTAAACACTTAATTAAAACTAAAAGAGACGTCGCTTACCTTTGTCGCTTTGACCGAAACTCCAAAGTTGGAAGAATTAAAAGCGGAGTTCTTTGTGTGCCTTTGGCTGCTTTATCTGAATTCACAGAGAGGTTCTTTATGCAAAAGACAAGATAATAATTAAATTTGAAAGGGAAAGTATATGAAGAATGGTAAGAAATAAAATTTTAAATTAAATATAAATACATATTTATATTTATTCAGTACCGAGAATATTTGAAAAGTTATATCTAGAAACAAATCCATATTTACATCTACAAAAATTCCAAAAAGTTAAGCTTTTGCCCTTTTGGTGACATTTATTTTGCCAATGGAAAGGATAAAATCTGACAATGATTTTTAAATTATTTTATGTGATAAGGATCTTTAGAAGTTTAGAGATTAATAGTATCTGATAATTCCGAAAGAACAAGTGAAACGGTCCCTCTGTGCTCCTCCGTCTGGAAAAACACGACACGTTCCTTATTTACGGATTTAATTTCGAACGTGACTTCCGAGTCCAGACTCCCATCAGAGGGAGAAAAAGCCGAGCGTGCGCGACGGTCCCGTCGTGTTTGCCATCAAGGGTGTTTTTATTTTTTTCCGGGTAGGAGATGTCACACCCCTGAGGGTGCTTTATAAATTGCCGGTCAACCTGCCAATAACAGTGGCCAGACGGTGGGACGTGCCAAGTACCACTCCAATTAACGTTGAGCTGTGCATTCATGTGAGAGTGTGGTGAAATATCGTAGAATTTCCCAAATTCTGCCCTCCAGGCCGGTCGAAGCGGAGGTTTCGTCTGAGTAAACAACTATCGATTTTTAGGAAATTTTTTAACTGGCTTTTCATTCAGGACATTTTGCAAACTGTTCAGGTGGAGGCAGCTTTAATTTGTATGGAGTCGGGCAACAAAATTGAAAGAGGCGAGAAAAGGCGCGAGTGAAGTGCCATTGTATCCGTCCAATTAGTGAGTAATCAGCATCCGCCGCTCCCCAATGTAAACAAAGTTTTGATTAGCACCAATTAGCGCAATACATGAAGATGCCAAATTTTGAAAGTCGCATGAGTCGCAGTCTAAAGGGAAAACAATATTTAATTAGCTTCTCCTGTTTCAAAGTTCAATTGTTATAAAACTTGCAGTGTCATATAATATTAAAATTTGTAATCAACAAGATTCAATAATTAAAGTGAGCAGATGTAAATTTTATTTGAAGTATAAACTTTAAAACAATGTTCAATTTTTTATACTTTATCAAAACAAATCTCTATATATATATTTAAATGATTTAAATAATTATATAATTATAGTGATCTCCATTTAACGGCGATGGTATAAGTATTTTACGCGGCGTGTCTTCCAAAAGTTTTTAATCATCTGAAAAATTATGCAGAAATGCTCAGCAATAACTATTTAATTAATTTTGCAGGTTCTAAAAATGTGATCTCACGGTAAATAATTTTCAATCCACAGGGAGTAGAGTTCAATATTCCAAAATAAAATTTGTTTGCCAGATAAATTTTAACCGAAAAAAAATATGCGTGAAACCTCATTTTCACGACCAAACTTAATTTATTCGCAATCACCTGCCACCACCAAAGTTGTTTTTTTCATTATGCCTGGCGGTGAAAAATCCAAACCGAACGTTTCGTTGATTGAAGCGAACAGTGGAAAGAGAGCCAGCGAGCACTCGGGAGAGCAACATCCATCAGCCAGAATAATTCCCGCCGGCCACCATTACCTCCGCATGTACTACATAGACCGACACAAATACGCCTCGCCATTTACCGTGCGTCGTTCGAGCGCTCGATGTTTGTTTCTGCTCGCGGATCGCCAATCACAGAGCCGAGCAGTAGAAATAATTGGAGTTTCGCCGTTTACGCTCGAGAAACGATGGTTGGTTTGCGACTGCCCGTCGTCCGTGTCCTTTGATGTGTGCGAAATCTAACCGCATATTGCAGTCGCTTTTGGTCAGACTCAAACGGCCTTCCTGTCATAATAAACTAAAGGTGCCATTTCAAATCTGCCTTCGCGAGATTTGATGTTTAGAAACGTCAACATCCCAATTTCACGAACCTTTGCGTCAAAATATTATTGAGAGAGAAATATAAAGATGATACACAGGTCTCCGTATAAAAGGAAAGCTCAAAATTTTTAACGGTGACATAGATAGTATGCTCATTTTTACATGTTTACAAGTAAATATTAAATATTTTATGTGATTTTTTTTTTAAATTAAGCAGACTAACTTGAAAGGACAACATAATTATTATACCCTGAACCCTGAGAATAAGCCTGATTTGTACTTTCACGAGAGGTAATTAACTAATTAGAGGAGTTTATTTTATTTAGGAATTATTAGGAATGAAGTCATTTAAAATTTGCAACTAAACCTGATTCATGTACTAAAAAAAAAAAAATTATTTAACTTTAAATATCTAAAATGCGTGAAAGAGGGTGATTGCTAATTTTCAATTAAATTCATGTTTAAAGGCATTGGAAATAATAATCAATATTTATTGATTTATTACTTAAAATTTCATAATTTGGACTTACTTACTCTTTCTTAACTTGGATTTCTTCTGCTTAATACATCTCTTTTAAAGTATAAACATGGAATCTTGCAGCCAATACTTGCTTTTATTACCGTCCAGCAGCAGCTGAATTATACAACTTGAATTTCCTCAGAAAATGTCTGGACGTGATGATGCGGATTATGATCGGTTGAGTGATGCAAACCACTGACTCAGCACCATCAAAATTGCCCACTCATTTTCTCTTACGTTTCGCGTTCCCATTTTCCAATTCTAATTTTTTCAAGCGGTATATTTTACAGCTGCAGATGCTGCTTGGTATAAATACTCAGTTGTGTGAGTTTCAGTCAAATTTTAAGCTACCTTAACCTTGGAGATTTTTAATTTATTTCTGTTCATTTTTTATGTACACGATTGAGAGTGCTAAATTTTAATAAAAATCTTCAGTTGAACCTTCAAAGTGAACAAGGTGTGCCTAACGAATTAATGCTTTTCAGTATTCAGTAATTTATAGTCAGCTTTGCATGTTAAGTATTGCTCACATCAATTTAGCGCAATCAAATATATGTTAGAGCTTTTAGTACCGTTGGCGAAAAACTTTTGATGTTCATTTTGAAATTTTCTCAACTGAATGAACACTGCGTCCGCCACTTTCTCTCTCTCAAAAGGTTGAATTCAATTGCAAAATATAAAATATTCATAATTCCGCTCTGAAAAGTTATGAAAAAGCGAATAATTTATCCATTGTAGCCAGCAGCAGCAGACAAACTTGGAACTAAATTGCAATGGAAGAGAACTTACAAGCGTGAAAAAGAAAAGAACAGACGAAAAATTTGTAAATCATTTTGCTCTCTCGCAACAAGACTTCAAACGATTCTCTGAAACTTGATATTACATCTGGATATAAAAACACTTCAATGTGAAATAAAAAATTCTGTCTGTAAATTGATATTCAAAGTATAGTGAGGTGTTGCAAGGTGAGGAGCGCCCGCATGAGCACCCCCATTTCGGGAGGAACTCTCGTCTCTCTGCCATGTGGATATTCTTTGAGCATACACGCGACACTGACAGTGTCACATATGCGTGTGTGTTTGAAGCTCATCGGCTGCTTGAGCTGACGGCTGCACTTTTCTCTCCACACTCGTGGCGAGCCCAATCGATTTCCGACAAGATTGATATACAAAAAGCTGTCACCGGGAAGCAGACACTTTTCCATCCCTGTGCGTTTTGATTGACAAACAGACCGACTTTTTTTGCATCACAGATGCCTCTCAAAGGGAAATTTGCTTCGCCGTACAAATTTTATCTATCAAAAAAGAAAGGGTATCATTTTCGCGTCAACACAAAATTGAAATTGGCCATTAGAGATGCAAAAGGAAATCTACATAAAAGCAAACGAGTCTTGAATAAGCAGCTGTGTTCAAGTTAGTTTAATCTAATTTTCAAACATTTATCTCAATCTTTCTGAAGAGTAACAAAAAAATTAATGTTCTTGTGCTCTTTCTGTATATGTCTGCTCCAGGAAACTTGGGAAATTTATTTTCGCAGAAGGAGATATTGTTTATTCAATGAAATAAATCAATATTCTTCCTCTAAATTTTGATCTATTTTTGTGCGACAATATTTATTTTCATTTACAAGTTATAAAATTTATTAAAATAAGAAGTATAAGAACTCTTTCCTTTTTCATAGTGAATTAAATGTAATCGATAAAATAGATATGTAAAATTAAAATAATGGGATTTTTAATGTACAAATGTTGGAATTTATAGAAATTATTTCCATGTATTTAGGAAAAAAATGCTTTAGAATTTCATCCACATTTTGTAAGAATTCCGGCAAAAATAGGAATTAAATTTTAAAATTTATAGTATTTAGATACAAGTTCAAACAAATCTTACTCAATTTAAAATTTAAATATTTATTTGAATTTTACAATTTAGAGACTGAACAAAAATACACAAACATTAAAAGCATAAAATTTCTACAGTTTCCATGCCTAAATTATTAAAAAGAAAAATTATTATTTAATTTTTGCAGATGGACGACGAAGGTGCAGACATGGCGTTCCGCTATTTTCAGCAACTGAACCTTTCGTACAACTACTCGGACTTTATGCTGTCGTGGTTGCTGAACAACACGCACCAGTTCATTGACCACGACATAATCCTCAAGTACTCGCGCAACCGCAGCCTCGACTCCTCGTGGACCTTCTTCGGCCTTGTGGCCGCCTACTCGCTGCTCATCGTGCTCGGCTCTTGCGGCAACGGCCTCGTCGTGGTCGCCGTCGTCCGCAAGCCGGCCATGCGCACCGCCCGCAACCTCTTCATCGTCAACCTGGCCGTGTCTGATCTGCTGCTGTGTCTCGTCACCATGCCGCTCACCCTGATGGAGGTGCTCACCACCTACTGGCCGCTCGGCACGCACGACCTGCCCTGCAAGATGCTCGGCGCCATGCAGGCCACCAGTATTTTTGTCTCCACCATTTCCATCACGGCCATCGCTCTTGACAGGTAAGGGAAAATTAATGAAATTATTTAAAATCCATGATTTTATTATGTATTATTTGTGTTTTGTTTTTTGAAACTCTTAAAATTGAATTCACAAAGATGATAATATTTTTCACAAATTTTTAGTTAAAAATTGTTTTTGTTAATTCATCACAAAGGCAAATTCTGCCCATAAAATAATACAATTTAATTTAATGGATATGAGAAACAACCTTAAAATAAACGAAAAATAGATTCTTTGAAAAAGAGAAACTGTGGAATGAAATGCCACCCGCAGAGCAAGACTGTTCTGCGGCACAGTTTCCACCACTGCGTAAGGCGTACTTGTCACTGTGTTTGCTAACAAAGAACCATTTCTCCATTCAGGACCTCCTCAAGTTTAGACTAACAATAACTGTCACTTTCAAAAGTTTTTTGGGTTTATTAATAATTTGAAATTTTTTAAGAATGGATAATAAATGAATAATCTCAATTGCTACTGTCAAGCATTCTGTGGTTTCAAGTTTAAATTGATTTAAAATGCAAAAACTGGGTGCGAATTTTTTAATCTCAATCTTAATACTCTTAAAATGAAAGCAAATTTTTTTATTAATAAAAACTCGTTAAATTTAATAAAATATTAAGGGGATGGGGAAATCCAACTCGATAAATTTTTTACTAAAAAAAAAATGCGATTTTGATGTTTTAAACGCATAAATTTTGGTATCATGTAAAGTAACACGAACTGAAAATTGGCTGGTGAAATATCAACTATAGAGAAAAAGCTGACCTCCCGACTTCTACTATTAACTATTTTTCTAAGTTTTTCAAATGGAAAAACTATATTTTATTGAATATATGTTGGAAACTTTCATGGAGTGTTGAAAAATAGGCTTTGTAATCATTTCATATTTTATTATTATCAAAATAGCCGTTTTTTATGAAAGTTACTTTTTCGACAAAAGCAAAGTTCGTTTCCTTCATTCCAAAAATTCTGAAATTGGAACCTTGAAAGTGTTAATTTTAATACAGTGAAGTTTGAAAAAACTCTGGCAACAATCTCAAAATTTTTGACAGACCATTGCGATCATTGCAAGCTTTAATTATTATTTTAATACGCTGATCAAAATATTAATAGTAGTTAAAAAATCTCTAATCTAATAAATTTAAAGAATTGGCAAAACATGAACATTTTGTTTCAGGTACCACGTAATAGTGTACCCGACGCGGCCCGCCCTGCAGGTGGTGGGCGCCGTGGGCTTTCTCTTCGTCATTTGGCTGACGGCCGTGCTTCTGGCCGCGCCCCTCTTCATCTGGCGAACGCTGCAGGTGCACGCGGTCAACCTGGAGGGCATCAGCACGGTGGCGTTCTGCGTGGAGGAATGGCCCGTGCAGCACGGCCGCGCCCTGTACTCGATCTTCTCGCTGGTGGTGCAGTACCTGCTGCCCATCGTGACGGTCAGCGTCGCGTACTCGCGCATCTGCCGGAAGCTGCACCACCGGTACGTGCGCTCGGCCCGCAAGGAGCCCCGACGCAAGGAGGACAAACGCATGCGACGCACCAACGCACTCCTCGTCGCCATTTCGCTCATCTTCTGCGTCAGCTGGCTGCCGCTCAACGTCTACAACGTGCTCGTCGACGTGCACAACCCTTTCACCGACCGCCAGTACATGCTGATCGCCTACGCCATTTGCCACATGATTGGCATGTCGTCGGCCTGCTCCAATCCGCTCCTCTACGGCTGGCTCAACGACAATTTCAGAAAGGTCTGTAAATATTTTAATTTATATACCAAATATGAGAAGGAAAAAGAATTTATTGTTGTATAAAAAAAATAATTAAGTTGATAATGTCTAAAGTTTTCTTTATGTAAAAAAAAGCAAATATTTTCAACTTGGTTCTGTCAATCGGTTTTAACAATAAGCAGATTTTAACGTTATTTGTTAGGTTTTTTTAGTTGCTAGAAGTGATTTTCCGAAATATATATTACAGTGGATAATATTTTGGATTCCCCAACCCTAAATTATAAATATTAAATAGCTTATATTGCTAGTATTGTTTCCAGTATTGTTCCTCCTCTATTCCATAATGTGTGTGGCTGCCGCCCACGCACTATGAGACGAATATAATCAAAAATGAAACAAAACTATGAAAAACGAAAAAATTATTATTTTTTTTTAAATAAGTAGATTTCATTTAGAAGTTTTTGAAAATCACACAATCTTTCCAAATTTCAGAATGTTTCTTTCTAAATTTAAACATTCTATGTTTATTATGGGGTGTCTTAATTTAGGTAATTTAATTAACCAGCTTGAAATTTAATAACTACGTCTCCAATAAAATTCATTTTTATAAATTGCTAGTTTTGTACATGAGGTACCTTATTATTTTTAACACAATAATTATGTACATGCAAGCTTGAACCTTCAATGAGGAAAACGGAGTTTGAAATGGATACGATTTCCGAGAAAGCGGACAAAGGATGAAAATATAATAACAAGTTCTGCAATCCGCTCAGCAGTTTCGTACGTCATATTCCATATATACATAATTTTAAAGGCTGTTGGTTTTTAACATTTGTCATCAAACATTACCTTTTCTGACATTTTAACATATTGAACCGATATTAACGAGCGGAAATCGGAGAAGTTTTATTGCACTCTGCTTCAATCTGGTTTGTTTAGAGACTATAAAGGTATTTGTAAGCACCTTATAAAAAAAACTGGTCCCTTTTAAGTAAGCTTTAAAATTTTTCTGTGCCCTCAGTCATCAAAGGACGACAGATCTAATTATTCAGATTAGTATAATTGTGAAATATTATATTTGATTTATTTTTTTTTTGCTCCAAAAATTAATTTTTTTTACAAGGATCTTTGGGAAAATTCTATTTTAATTGAGACGAAAAAAAATTACTTTTGAAGCATTAAGTGAATTTTGTCTTCTTTGAAAATAGTGCCTTCAGATATTTTGGGACAAAAAAATTAAGTACAATCCTAAAGATTTTGTTTCTATAGAACTTGAAATAAAAATATGACATGATAAAAGTTTTTCGTTGAATTTTGGCTCTAAGAAGACTCAACATAATTTTAACCTTTAAATTCGCTTTAAATTATTTAGATAAAAGAGATTTTTCTACCGTAGTCTACAGATTCTCCCATAGATTCTAAATCAATGCTGCCCTTGAATTGTTATATTTGTGCAGACAATACCTGATGATATGTAAATAATCATTATTGATTCATTGTGCATAAAAGCGTTTAATTTTTTTTACAGGAGTTCAAAGAAATCCTTGCCGTGTTTTGTCCCTGGATTCCGGTCGAGGCTGTTCAGGAGCGCGTCAACTCGATCCGGTCCAGCATGCGCGAGAGCCGGCGGCGGAGACGTGCAGAAAAAGAGGTCATCTCCCAAGGTCGCAGTGGCGTCGCGAGCGGCGACGCCAGGGGCGGCGCCGGCAGCGGCAACAATGGCGTCCGCGAAAGCGATAGCCTGACCGCCGTGGGCCCCAGCATGGAGCCGGTGCTGACCAACGTGGTGGCCGTCAACAGGGACAGCCAGCAGGGCAACAACCTGAGCGTTGACACGCAGGTTGCATACCGCAAGGCGCTCGACACCAGTGTCATGGTGGCCGAGAACATTTCCGGCCTCACTGAGATGACCGTGCTCACCAACACCAGTCCTGCCCTGCAGCACCAGGTGTAGGGCAAGGTCTACGCCCGATAACCTTTTAGGTGAGTTGTTGAAATTTTCCTAGCAATTATTTTTATTTTAAAAAAATCCTTCTCGGTTGGTAATGATTTTTTGTACAATATAAAATTGAGGCCGATCCAAAAACCTTACCTGGCCTGAAAATATTTGAAACAATTGAAGCTTAAAAACAACAGACAAATAAAAATATGCTTCATTGTTGTGATGCGTTTTCCATTGTTGAATTTATTTAATGCGCCTAATTTTAGTTTTCCAAAAGTGCAAAAAAGGGGAGCTTCGTATCGATAATCAAACCAGGCAAATAATTATTCAACGATTGAATTATGCTCGTTATTGAAATCTGAAGTCGAAACTGCTTCTTTGTATGGTTTTAATGGGTCAAAAAAAGACCCTCCGCACGTTATTTTATGCTAATGGTTCAATTGATTAAAATTGATTGGGCGATTTGTGCGAAATTGATCGTGATATATCAACGACTTATTTATTTCATAGGGCCAATTAATAATTAAGTAGCCTGAATGCCGATTTTTTTATTTTATTTTTAGGACAGGCCAAGACAAAGTCTTGTTGGCCTGTGCACAGAGTTTTGTTAAATCTTATTATTTATTAAAATTAATTTCAAAAATTATGAACTTTTTTGTGGTGGTTCTTTTATATAAGTGATTTTTTTAACAACAAAAACTTGCAGCAGGTCAAAACGAAAGCGAACAGACATGTCCGCTTTAAAATTTTTAACGCGAAATGCTTTTATTAATGCGCTTGCTCATGACGTAGAGCTGCAGACATTGAAATCTTATCTATCCTCAAACGGAAAATAAATTTAATCAGGAAAAGCCTGTTTTGATTTGATCATGCCCCTCAAGTGCATAGTTTATTACATTAATTAATGACCCATTTTTTGATACCCCCTGAAGCCTCATATCATATAAAACCAATTATTGCACGAAAATAAAAACTCGTATTATCAAATTTCAGATGATTTACATCATTTGATTTTGATTGAGGCATAGCATATAGTATGATATGTTTTTATTTATTTAAAAAGTAGTTATTTAAAGCATTTAAATTAAGAAATTTAGATGATTTATTTTGCGGCCCACCTTGGTGCAGGGACCTCTCTTGAGACCCCCGTGTTTTAATAAATGGTTTGGCGTTTCTTCCCTTTTTTTTAATTTAATTTTTTCTCGTTTTTTACTTGATTTGTAAAGAAAAACAATAACAAAGTTTTTTCTGTGCACTTTCATTGCAACAGAATCTAGAATGTATTTTAATATTTCTACTTTTCAAATATTTTATTCCTTAAAAAAACTAGAATTGCATTCAACAGTCAAAAATATTTACATATAGCAATGAAATAGAACGCCGTCTCTTTGGCAAATAATGCCCAAAACAAAAGAAAAAAATTTAAATTTGTTAACGTGCAAAATCACAATAACTCGGTTACGATGTCTTGCTGAAAGAAAATTTTAGCAATCTCGATAATGTCAGAGTTTGCTTAATCACATTAAATTGTTTAGAAACTTCAGAGCGCTCTTCCAGTTTAATCCACTCAATATTTACTAACTTGTGTGTAATGAAAGCTAACGCAAGAATTTCCTTGTACTCAGAAATTTCGTCCGCAGTTTATTCAGCGGAGCGCGCTTCTGAATCTTCTGAATTTCAAGATAGACGTGCAAATCTTTGCCCAGACGAGCTAGGCGGGGCTAATTAAAATTAACGAGGCACTCTTATGCGTAAAGAGACTTTGCTTGTCCCAGATCGCGCATTTAATGCAACACAACCATTCGTTCCTATTATGATAATAAGCATGTATAGAGAAGATTCTGATGAATTAAAATCATACCATTGTTGGATTGTTGCTCATTGTAGTCAAAAACTGCTCATTAAAAGGGTTTAATTATTGCAAACAAATTCCAGATTTTCACTTTGCTGTAATTTTCTTCAACTAAGTTTTTGCAGATTGCGAAATTTATAGAAAATTTGTTCCGGCAATTTTTTAGCAGACCTTAAAAAGTCAATTTTGACAGATACCATAGAGTGTTTATAATTTTCGTATAAAATTTTATCATTTTGTAATAATTTTTAATTTTGCATTCCTTTTCCAGATATAGTGTGACCAACTTGAACATATGTGAGAGCTCAAATCATCCTTCTGCGTCGTTTTAAGTAAAATAAATATATCACTGTGCCCCGCCGCTTGCCCCCAATTGTTATCGGTGTTCACGAAGCCGAAATTCTCGAGGCGCCACCCGCCAGCATCTGAGCCCCAGCGTGTTGATTTCGATTCGTCTTTCCTTTCCCGCCATGCGCCGGCGGGTAAGAGCAAAGAAGGGTGGTGTTCCGCGAATTTGATCTCCCTTCGCCAATGCGTGTGTCCCAAACGAGCTGTGTTTTATGACTTTTATGCAAGAAAAAGACTGAACTAACAGTTATGGAAGAAAAAGACAGGCTGAGAAGATAAAAACTGCGTCAATATTTGTAGTAATAAAATGTTTCCGGGTATTTGTGAAAACCTCGATTACATAGTTGGTTTAGTTAGTCTCATCGTTGTTGTGTTTATTGTTCTACAGTTTACAATAAAGTTTTGAGATAATACATCTTTGGTGTTGCACAAGTAATTGTTTTCATTGATCCACTACACTAAGCAATTTCAAGATTACTCTAAAATATCCAGATTGACGAATTTCTTTTCACACTTAAATGAATGCAAGTTCTTATTGTTACAAGTAAAAATCTAGGCATTTGAATAAGAGTCATATTTTAGAAAGTAATGCTTTACCTAAATAATTAGATTAAATGGAAATTCTATTAAACTCTTTTAATAAAATACAGTTTAAATTAACTTTGTACATATATTTATCCTCCTAGTATAGCACGACAATAACATTTCTCTGATATTTTTTTTAATTTGCAATATATCCCTAAATGTTGAAATATTTAATCTATAAGATCAAAACAGATTTATAAGTTAACATCACATTGATTGAATTTCGCTTACAATAGTCGTGCTTGATTATAGATTATATAAGTGTCTCTGTTTTAAATATTAATAAATCTCTTTAATCTCATACATAATTTATATAATTTCCTACTGTTCGTACACTGACAGTTATTGCTTTTTCACTGCAACCATTTCGTTTGCAAATGGAAGAAAGGAGTCAAAGTAAAGAGGATGTGCAGAGATTACTTCCAAGTGCATCATTAGAAACTAGTCGCGTACAAAGAATAGGTTTTCTCTCGGATATCAAATACTTCTCTCTGATATTGAATCTCGAGTGGCAACTCAAGGACAATTACCAGGAAAACTTTCGCAAATTGAAGCGAGCGTAAAATGCCTGTGGGCTCTTGATTGTGAGTGGAATTTGAGCACAAAGGGTTGCTTTTGTTACGCTCGATTTAATTAGCTTGCTGACCTCGGGCGCCTCACGCGCAAAGACAAACAAACAGCGTGTATACAGGCTCGTGTTATAAACTCCCTGGCAAATTGAGCAACAGACGTAAATAAACATTCTACGAATGGATTGGGCGATTTTGCAGGTGCATCACAGTTAATGTCTCACTATAGGCAGTTTTAATAATGTGATCCTTTGTCTACACAACAGCTGTGTACATGTAAATATTTACATATAATTTTACTGATCAAACGAATGAAAATTATACGATCGATTTTCACAAGCTGGCAACACCAATAGAAATTGGATATGTATAGGACTTGATATGTTTTCAGATCACACAGTAAGAATTATTTGCAGTAAAATAAATTTTTATGGAACCATTTTCATCAGAGATATTTTTGCAGAATTAAGTTCTGTCAGGAAAAAAAAAATTCAGAAATTGGTTGAATTCAGTAAAAATAACGTTTTACAAACATACAAAATAAATGTTTAAATAAATTTTTAACAATTAAAAAATCTCAGTCAATAACTAAATGTAAACTAAAATTATTTTTTTGTGATTTATAACTTTAAAATTTTCATCTTGCTATTACCCCATGGAAAATTTAATAAAATGTGATATGATTTTTGCCATGGGTTCAAATTGCATATTTTAGTTAAAAAACTCATTATTCATAATGTGATAAAAAAAATTTAAAAAAAAAATCAAAACATGATGCTAAAATGGCTTAATAAAATTTTAGCTACAAAAAATTAGATTAAGACCAACTCAATTTCTGGAAATTATGAACATTTTTTGGGGATTTTCCTTTATGGCTGCGTTTTGTACATGCGGCTGATGTGGTTGGAAAGAAGATTGTTGACCACCGAGGCTGTGCGCAGGTCGCTGGCAGCCGGCCTCGGCGGGGCGTGTCGTCAAGTGGCTGCTGGGCGAAGGGCCACGACCTGCACGCTCATCCAGCGGACCATGTCACGCCACAGGGCCAACGCCTCCATGTCCAGCATGTCGTGCGCTTTCGTCGGACAACGATAGATGAAGCCGCTGCAGCCGCGAGACCTGCAAATTTACACAAAACATACAAAACTTTCAAAAAAATCCTTGAAATTTTTACTATTTATTATTTTGTGCTACAGAAATTAATGAAATTGATCAAAAATCAATATTAATGCGATAATTATGAAGATTTTCATTTACATATTTTAGTATTAAAAATAATTTTGAATACAAAGTTCTAGATACGAAAAATCTTGATATATTTTTTTTAATTATTATTTTTTAATTTAGGAATTAATTTTTTTCTTATCATTTAAGTAAGAAAAGTAACAGAATAAATATGGACCTGTCTTGGCCGCTAGCTGTGGCCTCTAAGTAGCTGAGCAGACGGGCCCCTTCTGTTGAACTCATCAAAGCGACTCGCATGCTTTCATAATCTCCCTTGAAACTGCTCAACAAACAGGAAATACCTCTCTACATTAGTGAACTCAAATTGTTGTTGCAAAAGTTTTCTTGTCATGCTAATTATGAAAGGGGAGTTTCTATGGAGTTGACCTACATTTTAATGAAATTCTAAAATGATACAGAATATACTCCCTGAAGTTAATAAACGAAGGTCAAAGATTTATAGGTTAAAAAGAAATAAAAAGATTCAAATCAATTAAAGCAATGATTCAGCATCCCCTGAAATAGATTTGATTACACAAATAATTGGATGTAATAATTGATAAAAAAAAAAAAAAAATCAAAAGTATTTTAGTATTTGAAGGAGTAATATAATTTCAGATGAATTATTTCCATTGGTTTTTAGTTCAATGATGACGCATATAAAATTATTGCAAGCAAAATAAACAAATGCTTAAAGTATGAAAAAGAAAAATTGTCAATTTTTTCACGGATTTTAGTACGAATCATTTTATTAAATTGATAACTTCTGACATATTTTCACATTGCATTCCGCCGAAAAAAGGAAAGAAATCTATCGATATCCGCAAGGATAACAATATTGGTGGATTGGGTTTATTTCCCTATCCATCCTTTTGCATGTTTCTTTTCCCAGACTTACCATGAAGGATTTTCTCTCGCAATAGAGCGTCCTTTGCATGTGAAACACGATACACGTACTCACTTTTCCATTCAGAAGAGCAGCACGAAAGCTTTCGAGCTTTGCTTTCGCGTGAGAAATTGCGCATTCGGCGCGAACGTGCCGCCCACACATCTGCAAGTCCCGCCGACGAATACCAAATAAAATACAAAAACGTTCTCGCGCCTGCGGCAGGCAGCAAAGCAACCCGCGAGACTCGGACGGCAAACAAGTTGCCCAAGCGGGAGGCGCTCTGTGTGCCCCAGTTAGCAGTTAGTTTAAGTGTGAGCAACCGCCGCACAGCAAAGTGAGCACAAAACACCGCGAGGAGGAAAAAAAGCAGAGGAAACCCCGACGTCATCGTTATTCACAAGTGGAATGTTTTTGCATAAATTCAAGTACAGACTTGTGATGACAAATTATTTCAGAATGCTCGGGAAACTGAAACGCCAAATATAAACCAAAAATTTAATTGACAAGATGGAAGCATCAAAGGAATGAAAGAAAGTTGCAATTGAGAAATAGGAAAAAAATTAAGATATTTTCATTGCAAAAGTGAAAACAAAGTTGATTATATAATATTAAATAATTCTCAATTAAACATGAAATAAAGAAATTTTGGGAAAATTTATAACACGGACTGAAAACTTAAAGAATGTTAAAAAATCCATAGTTGTGAGATCCTGAGGGATTTTTGCACTTTTCATAAAATTGCTCTTTGAAAAAAATTGACTGATTGATTTTTTTGCCAAAATTCACAAATCTGAAATTATTCCTTTTGCACGAGATACTTAGAATTTTATATCTCAACGATTTCTTAAAAATATTTAATTGGTAAAAATATCTTAATCTAATATTAAAATTTTAGTGCTTTATGAACAAGATCAATCCATAATTTATAAATAAAAAGGAATCTAAAAACGAAAAAATTAAGAAAATTTAATAATCAAGACCTTGTTTCTTCCATGAGGACGAAGGACAAAGGTTGGAAATCAGCAGGATGGTCGGCGACCTCGCAGAGCAGGCGGCGTCTGCAGTCTTCCGCCAGCACCATCAATTGCATGAAATAGAAGTCGAGCTTCTGAAGTTGTAATTTCAAGTCGGCAGAAAGTTCCTGCTGCTTTCCTTTATGTGCAATTTTTTCCGCAGACTCTTTCGCGGAGAAATGAGGACGACGAGTTACGAGATTATAGGGAGTGATGACCTTTTTAAAGTGCTGGTCCTCCTCATCAGGGTCGATCGGTGTCGTTGGGTTGTAGCCCCAAATCGAGTTGGTCGCTTCGTCTGAATCGACTGGAATCATTAAGGATTCGTAAACTTTAAAATGCATCGATTTGATTTGCTCATTATTTAAAAATCAAAATGTGTTATTCAAATTTCAAATGTAATAAAAATTATTCATAATTAATTACCTGGTGATATTAAAATAAGTATTTAATCAACAAAATTTTAACTCGATTTGTATAAATTTTTTGAGGCTCTGATTGTCATTTAAAGTTAATTGCTTTTTTCTATTAAAAAACAATAATTATATTTGCCTACATTTTCTCATATTTTTTTCTAAAACTTCTATTGTAGAATAGAATTATACCAGTAAAAATCAAAAGTTTTGCAAAATAATACAAATGTGTCCTAAAAAAATAATCTAAATGCGTTATTTATAACTTACAATAATTTTCAAATTTCTATAAATTAATATTTTTTAAGTCAGAAATTTTTTCTTCTTTGAGTATTTATTAAAATTTTAAGAGATTTTGCTTTGCCCTTCAAACAAAATATATACATAATTTTTTTTTTATTATTTCATGATGGTAAATCGATCAGGTTCGACAAGCAATTATTTCCAATAAATTTGCACAGTGTGTTCAAGGGTGTTTGGGCACCTCTCTGAATTTCTGGCGTTGAGAGAGAAGCACGGGCATCCATATCCATCCCTCTCAGCAAACACAGACCCTTCTCTTCCTGTTGTTGATATAGGTCAGAAACACACGATGCACGATGCGTGAAACTGACTGACTATAACCGTGAGAGGGTTGGAAACAATGGAAGAGCGACCGACTGCCCGCGTAAGTGTCGGAGAGAACCACAAGTGTTCGCAATGAAAACAGACCGAAGTTGTGTATCTCATTTGTCTGCAGCGAACACATTAAAACACTCGAGGCAGCTGCGAATCGTGTTGCGAACTTTTGTCAAGAGCTGCATGCAAATTTCGTGCCAGAGCAGCATGACCGCGTCAAGTGCATGCGCCCTTAACTCGTCAACAACTCGTCAGCGATTCTTTTCAGGACGGAAACAAAGAAATAACTTCATTTGCTTGGCCAGTCATAATTTTATAACTAATTTAATTTCAAAATGTCTGATAAATCCTTCAAGAGGATATACTGCGTGAAATATGCTCGATTTTTAAACTAAGATAAATCTCAAAAAATAAGTTAAAATCTTTAATTCTGCATCACCTTAAAATGGAACAGGTCTTGACTTGACTCTAATTTGTAATATCCTCCATTGTGAACTTTGTGAAGCAATCGCAAAAAATTTACCACTTGAGCGAAGTTTAACATTTTTAATTAAAACAATTGGTTCTTTTCATTTCCAAGAAGGCAGAAAATTGGTTTCCTCAAAATTAATTGTTTGCCTTCTCAGATATGAAACGTCAGATTAAACAATCTTGACAAAGCTCGACGGAAAGGAAAATGGAAGGCCTCTGGGAAAAATAGTTACATACCAAATTTATAGGAGTTCCAATTAACTCTTCAAACTCTTGTTTATAAATTTTCTACGGAAAGGCAGCAAAGATGTGTTCAAAAGGGTTTAAAAAAGAAACTTATAAAAGTGAAACATTTTTTATGAACGCGCCTCTTATTTGTATTCTGGTGAGCCCACAGAGGGTAGAAAAAATGATGAAATATGTGCGGTGGAACGTGGCGGATCATTTTATTTTCTGCGCGGAGGCAGAGGTAGTCGGAAAAAGAGAGCGAGTAATTTAGTTTATAGAGACTTGGCGTTAAATCGATCGTTCCTCCCAGCAGTGATTCTGAATGTTTCTTTTTGCTCTCTTTTCCAGGTTTTTGTTTTATCAGGGCTGTATGAGGAAAATAAAGTTCTGGTTATTTTTATTTCAAGAACAGGGAAAAACGTTATGTTTTTAGTAAAACCTACGTCTATGAGATGGAATATGCCCTAAGGTAAAACTGTCAAGGAAAGCCATCCAATATATTAACTTTATCTAAAACAATATTTTTTTATTAACAACATGAGCTATACGGGACAAAATTGAATTATTAATTAAATGATGTGCATATTTTACGGAAAAATTGACGTCATTTATAAATTAGTAATATTCTCAAGAAAAGTTGGCGAATTTTTCAATTTTTATATTGCATTCATTACTTCTGTTGTGCCATGTTACAAATTTATATTATTTGTCTCTATATTAATGCTTTTCCTGACAGCATTTTTAAATAGTCAAAGAGGCGGAACAGCTGTTTTTTTTTTGCAAATCACAAAATACTTAAATCATCACTTTTTGTGTGGTTCAGATATCTGCTCTTGTTTGTCTATTTTATGTTTTGCTTTTTAGATTTCGCATGACGCACGGGCACTAAAAAACGCCCAATCTGGTTTTCAAAACAAATTTCAACGCATGCGTAAATAATTAATGCACGACTTTGCCATATAATAACTCTGATTATTCTGAGAAACCGCTCTTCGTTGTTATGCCGAGCGTGCAAAGTTCCGAAAAAGGCTAAGAGCAAGGAAGTTTCAAGAGAGTTTTATAATTTTCATTAAAAGTTGCACAACTACTGGAATAATAAACGCACCAAGAAACACAAAATTGTTAGGAAATTTATTGCGGTATAAAAAGTCAAGTTGGCGGAAATGAAATATAAAAAAAGCTCTTGGAAATTCTTTTGATATCATAGTTTATGTTGATGTGTGCTAATTATAACAATAAACTTAAATTTCATAAAAATATACAACAACAAAAATAATCCACATAATTTCAAAATAAAATCTAAATTCACGAACACTGTAGAAATCTTAAATATTATCTTCGATCAAATAAAAATAAATAAGTGATTTGTTTTAAAGATTAAATTAATTATATTCGTAAAGCATAGTAGATATAATTGTATGTTAAAAATCACAATTAAACATATTTTCTGTAAATGTGTATTATGCAGCCTGTAACACACATGTGTGTGACCGGCAGCCTAAACTTTCATCCGACTCACGTCTGTCCATGTCAAATGGCTTTGAACTTTACTCACTGGTCTGGCGGTTGTGCCCTCTGGAACGTTCCTTTGCCTTGACCGGTTTCGAATGCATGGCCTTTGTGATGGTGGCCGCCCCTTTGGCCTGCGTCGAGCCGGCCCGTTTGGTCTCCTCGTGGTTTTCGCCTCCCAGCAAACTGCTCAACAAGCCGTGAAATGGCCAAATGAATGGGCGGCGTCGGACAAACAGACGGACAAATTGCCGACGAGAGAGCGAGAGAGAGAACAAGTGTGGAACTGACACGGAACAATTGCTCCTCGAGACTCAAGAAGCATCACGGTGAATGTGAGGCTGCTTGTTTGCTGTTCCAAGTTTGAGCAAACACGACAGACATCAATTGAAAGATAAGTATTTTTCTTGTGGAATTTTAGGAATTGTAGGTAATTTAAAAAAATATATTAGAGAAAATTAAAGAATTCCTAATGGAATTTATTTTTAATCTCCGGAAATATAAAAAGGATAAAAAGTAATATTTTTTTGCGTTTTTCATCGCGAATTTGAGGAAAGGATTGAACAATAAGTAATGCGTAGTGATAAATTATAAATACAGCTCAATTTTTACCTGGATTAAAGTAAGCCATGGCTATGCCAATTCCCGACGTCTCTGTAAACAAAAACCTTGTCTGAAGCGCAATCCACTCGACCTTTTTGTCCCTTTTGTCTCCGAGCTTGTTTTTCCTTCGATTCCCTCTCTTTATCTTCCCTGCTTTTCAAAGCGAAACAGAATTTTGATAAGCAAAAAAGAGACGCAACGTAATGGATAAATATTGCGCTCGCCCTTTGACATCCGTCGGAAAGTTTCCGTTGTTCTCTTTTATTTCCATCATTCTGCGCTGCTTTTCAGCTCGATATCGATCGACATACACATGCCGGCACACAAACGCATGAAAAATGTAACGCGCGCTCGCATGCTTTTCTCACCTCTTTTGATCACCGACTGAGAGGCGCAAATCATCCCCCTTGCGAAAAGTTTCCCTATTTGAAAAAAGTTAGTTTCAAGCAACCGTAAGGACCCTCGGGGCTAGAGAAAAAGTAGTTTGGATTTATTGACGCAATTCCATCAAATAAATAAACAGCATTCCTCACAGGCTAAACCAACTTTGGGAAAAGTAGGCATGTATTTGTAAAAAAAAAAATTACACCCGTCGCTAGCAAAGTTGGTTGAAAGCAAAAACGTGAATGAAATAAAAAGAGACTGCTGGTGCTGACGTGCCGAGTTAAATAATTCCACTCCATTTTTTGCTGCGCTCAATTTTGAATGAAACATTTATGCGGCGCTGACCACCAAGAGCAAGCGGCTATAGTGTAATAAATTGGGTATGCGAAAAGGTCAGGGGTCAAAGAGTGGTGGACTAAAGTGGGAATCCAGGATATCCGCTACGGTGAGGTTTATTTTTCAGCAAGACAAATAATGGCTTTTCTTCTCTGTTAAATAAATTAGATTTCAAATGTGAAAGTTCAAAGTTCAAGGAAAATTCTAAAATTCCTCATTGTGCTAGTAAAGAGCGAAACAAATTTAAATATGGGGTATTAGTTCAGATTTTAATTTAAGTACAAGACATCTTATAATTTATTTTTATCAAAAAAAATTATATTTAAATTATTGTGGTACAAAAACACTGTATTTAGCAATCATCAACGGATGTGAAATTTACCAAAATTTTATATGTTTACCAGAATTTATTAAATATTTACTTAAATTTGTTATAAAAAAATCGAAAAAAAAAATCTTTTTTCTTTAAAAAAATTAAAAATTTATATTTCTCAACAAAAACTTTGCTATAGCCTTTGATAAAATAAATGTTCAACTAAAAAAAATTAAAATCGTCAAATTTAAGTAACTCTTGATAATTTTACGCAAGATAAAGAGATATGGATCGAAACCGATTAATTTTTTCTCTCTATTTTTTCTCACTCTCTCGCCAGCTGCACACGGACCAATCAATAGAACCACTCCTTGGCCCATTATTTATCAGCCTGCGTTACCTATGCAGCCCCCTCTCGTCCGCATCCTCCAGCCCCTCGGTCGCGTTGACCTTCAACAAATTGACCTCGGTAGGGTCTTGAGTGGTCGGCAGGTCAAAGGTGGTCGGCCAGTCCTCTTCGGTGGTGCTGCGGATCGTGGCGGCCTCCTCGACAGGGTAGTCCTCCTCGTCGTAGTCATCGTCCTCGTAAGGGTCCTCTTCGGCGGCGCCGACGTGCAGCGCCACGGCCGCCGCCACGAGCAGCACGGGCAACGCGCTCGACGCCAACATTCCGAGCGACTGGCCAAGACGCAGGTCGGGCGAGTGACTGCTGACTGCTGTGGGGTGGCGGCCCCCGCAACTAAAGGGCTAAGGGCACCGAAAGTGGGCAGCCCGCCGACCGACCCCACCGCCTCCGATGCATGCGCCGTGATGCCATTTTCACCGATGTACTCAAACGTTTTGGGTCTTTTTCTCTTGAATCAAGATCAAATTAATTGTTAAATTTTTGAACAGACATTAAAAATTACAATCTTCAAAAAAGAAATAAATCTATAAAATTAATCTTGATTTTAAGTTCTCAGTTTTTTTTAACCCATAATTTTAATGCTTATTCAAGCATTTGCTAATAATTTTTTTTATGGATCATTGCAAACAAAAGTATTAGGCAAAGTTGTGTTCAATTATATATAAAAATTAAGTTAAATCAAATAACTTTTAGATTAATGAGACGAGACGGAAGAATACAATTAATGTTTTGATTTAAATTTTATTTTTGGTTTCAAAGCTTATGATAACAATGATTTTTAAATGAAGAATTTAAAAAATAAGTCAATAAATATCTGAGTAAGTTATGTCAAGAAAGTCAAGAAGGAAGGCACTTGTTAAAAATGCTAATAAAAAAATCTAGAAAATTTGATTTTAATTATTTTTAACTTCACAGTATTTGAATCAATTTTTAACAACCAAATATTTGAATTTTAATTCAACACAGATTTGCTCGCTTTTTTACAATTTAATTTTTCATCAGAAATATATCATACTCAATCTTATTATTAATTCATATTAAATATAATTAAATTTTGTGTTTCAAGTGTTCCCCCATTTTCAACCTTATTTTCACTCTTTCGCAACGATCATTTCCTCAAGTTTGCAATTCCAGTCTACTGAACTTTTTGCTCCAAGAGTGCGGTTACTAATTAATCTACAAATTGGGAGCCGAAGAGAGTAGCAGAAGGACCCGCCAATTAAGAGTGTCGAGGCACTCACCTATATCGTCCGAATTCATCGCCGAGTCTCTAATTAAAAGCTGCTGCGGGAGACGGCAAGAGGCCGCGAGATAAAGGGGTGAGGCGCGCGGTTTATCTCCATCGCGCCGACTTTCAAAACCACCACCAGCCGCAAAGTTCCACCAAAGATTCGCCACACAAAGAAGACGCAATCTCCCAAGAGTTCCAACAGACAAGTTAAGGCAGAGAGCTGACGAGCAATTTTATCTCGCATGGAAATCATACAAGTGCCTTTTTCAGTTTCCTGCCTGCCTTTGCATTGTTTAAGAGGAGCAATTACGTAAGATTTGTTGCTCTAATTTCAAAACAGAACAGACTTGAATAATCAACGAAGAGATAATGAACCAAATTTTACAGGTCTTTGCTAAGTGTTTCTTATGTTAAAAAAAAGAAAAGAACAATATGAAGTATATAATATTATTACATCGATTTTTCCGGATTTTTCTATTTTTTCTTTTCAATTTTCAAAAAAATAATTTTCATATATTTCATTTGATGATCCAGAAGGTTTTTGACATATTTTTTCCAATTTTATTGAGTTTATAAATTTCAATGAACTTTTTTTTGCCAATTTTTTTTGTTTATTAAGTTTACTCATTCTTGATTGTCAAAATTATTTTTTAGGGTATTTGCACCGTAGTTTTTCAGCCAAGAATCCAAATTGCGGTTGTTCACTGTTGTTCACTTTATACGTGTTCATCGGCCTTCCATCCGCCGCACGCACACAATCAACTTGTTTAATGACGCGGCACAAATAATCCGAGTGCACTTGGCAAGCGATTGCAGGTGAAACTCTCCTGCATACACCGTCACTCTCACGTTTTGTACTTATGAATCTTGCGAACATCTCATTGGGAGCATGTGTAATAACATGGGTGTGTGATTATCTTCAGGAGTGAATGCAGTTTCCGTCTTGTAAACCTTCCGTCGTCATTCTGATCTTCTCGCTCTCATTGCCACAAATGCTAAATTCGTAAAATCTTGGAATTATACGAAGGCTTTTAAAATAATAATAAAATATTGTACAATTCACAATTCAGGAGTTTTATTTCATTATCTGAAATAGCATATTATTTAATTAATTTATCGTTGTCTCCATTAGAAAAAAAACGTTTACTATACCAAAAAATTAGGCTCGGATCCTAGTTAAAAATTCTCCGATTAAACGGTTTTGCTAAAAAACTGTTATATGGAGTCATTTCTTGATATTACACAACTATATACTATAATGTAATCTTTATATGAAATGAAATTAAGAAAACAATTTTTATTTCTTTTTTACACCACAGTTATCAAAGTACTTCTATTTCTCAGTACTATAAATAACTATGATTTAAAAAAATGTAAATAAAATACAATCGCTTGCTTCGAGTATCAATGGAAATTTTTTACCAACTATTGTCAAACAGTGAAAAATTATAACCCTTCAAAAAGAAACATTCACAAAAATAATATAAAAATATTCTAAAACTGCCTTTATGATATAGGTCATTAAACACATATCAAAACTAGAAACTAAGATTTTTCTTACACTTTTGCTGTTTACTTGTCATCATTGTTGGAAATACATATTCATTAAATTGAGTTTAAACGATGTACGTTAAAGAGCAAAATCAAAAATCTAAAGAGACTTAATTTTTGAGACATAAAAAGTAGTCTTTAGTCTCAAATATTTGTCACAATGCTAAAAATTTCCAAAGATTCTTTTTAAATTTTAAAAACAAAAAAATTAAAAAACTTTTCCGTGTCTCTAATAATAATGCAATTAGCTCTCATAAATTAATAAATCTTATTTCCTATTTATTAAAGAACTTCAGTCTCAATTAATATTTTTCTGATTGATGTACTTGTGAAATAAATATTGTCACCAGAGAGGGCAATTAAATGTATATTTAATTCATTTGCATCTCGTTAAAACTAGATTAATCACATTTTTCCCGCATTTTTCTTCCATTCAAGTAGTTTTTGCAATTAGCAGAAAGAGAGTTGTTCAACCAGTTTCTGTGCTGGTGCGGCTTTTCTCTTTTTCTCATCAGAAAATGGAACTGCTAACGATACAAGTAATTCAATCCCGAGTGTCCAGCAGCATCCGCGGCACTGCAGGAAAACTTGTTCTGCGAGAATAATTCATCGGTCTAGTTTCAAGTGGTCAGTTGTCTTGCAAGGAAAAATGGCATGCAAAACTAGGCAAAGAAATTGAGAGCAAAATAAATGAGTCGCAATAATAAATGAGTAAACAATTTCCTGACTGATTGGTCGTGATGTTTAAGCCTTTTTCGGTATAATTATTTCCACGCAACACTTAACTGCTTTTAATCTGATTATGGTAGCTCAACACATTTTACTGCGGCATTCTACATTTTTAATGAATGATTATTCATAAGGATTTATTAAAATTCATTGGCAACTCCTCACTTTTCACATTCAACCTCATTAATTCGGTTAATTAGCTTAAGCAAAATATTATATAAATACTTCATTCTTATTGAAAAAAAGTTATTTATTATTTTAGGTTTCGGGCTATCAACAAGCCAGACCTTTTTGCCTCAGGTCAATAGGTCAAATAAGGGCTGAAATTTTATTTTAGCTCTTGCTTACAGCATAATAAATAAATAAATAAAATCAATGAAATGTATATTGAATTTTTTATATCTGATGTATTTGGGCAGAGAATATAATACTTTATTTGAAACTAATGGTTGGCAAGTTCAAAACTCTCCATATTCTTATTTTTTTAGTTCACTCCACAATTCATTTTTCAAATTAGATCGTTTGTGCAAGTGTTTTTTACTTAATTTGAAAATTTTTTTCTGCACCAATTTTTAATTAAATCTTTAAAGATGCTTGTTAAAAATAAATTATCATAGGTAAAAGCATTTGCTAAAAACATTAAAAATCGATCTATATTTTTAAGTACAAATATTTCACTTTTTAGTAATTTAAATATTGATGAAAGTAAAAAAATCCTTTGGCACATAAAAGTAGCAATGATTTTTAAGATTCAAAGGAGCAATTAATTCAGTCCACTTGTATAAACTATTATATTTTCAACCAAATAAAAATATTAGCAACTGGCCATCAAATAGGACCCAATTCAGTGTGCATGACGTGAAAAGGAATGTTCATTATTATATCAAATGTTTGTGGAGTTTGGAGCGCGGCGGTAAACCACAGCGAGTCGTGACGAGCCCGATTTACGGCCATTCAGTGAGTGATTCCGGAGGCGAAAAATCCGGAGCGCGAGCACTCACGTGCCGCACCATCATCCCGATCATCACGAGAGCACAAAGGCAGCCGCAAAACACATCCGACGACAACAATAATACGCCCGCTCGTACACCAAGCTTTCGTCATTGATCGGAACGAGAGAGCAGCCGTCGGCACCTGATCGTAAATTTTAACGATCTGCACCGACGCAGCCATCGGCGTAGGAACAAAATTGTAATTATATCCACAGGAGCTGTTTTGTCACAGTTTCAATCTGTGCCTACTACATTTTAACCAGATCTATTTGCAAATAATTTTATCAAAACAATTATACACCAAAAAATTATCAGTCAAAATCAATTTTTTTATCATTTAAAATAAAAATAATTCTTTTTACAAACTAATTTTTTTCTTATTCACTCTTTGAAATAAATATTGTAAGGAAAATAATACATAATGGCGTTAAAATTCAATAAATTCAATCGCAGTTTGGAATTAAAATAAAATCAAAGGCTTAAAAAAAATCAAATCAAAACAATTAATAAACGCGAAGCTCCACATGCCATTTTAATTTGGATGGACCAAATTTATATTCTCAACACTGTCAAACACACACGCATTACTAGTTTATCACCAAAAGCCCACAAAGTTCAATATAACGCAACGAGAGTTTTTGGGACAACTTTTCCAATCATTGCCGTAATTCCTGCTCATCCAAACGGATTTTTTTTCCGAGTTTGATTAATTTCCCAGTGAAGTGGGTAATTGAATGTGATCAATTTGCTGCGCTGGGATTTCATTTGCCGCCCAAACCAATCGATCTGTTTGAAAGCTGATAGGTGGGTGTTTATTAGCCGTGTAATTCGAGTGGCACACAAATTTACCCATGAGATGAAATTATGCTTATTAAACAACCAGCTCTGGCTTTTAATGCGCATGTTGATTAGCAGATGGTTTTAACCAATTTTAATTAATGATGCAAATTGTAGAAAAGTTGTTTTCCACATTGAATGCAAAATAAATAATGGATTCGCGTGGACTAAATGATTTAGCAAAATATTTGCTGTTGCTAGCCATATTTTTTTGGTCCAGAACGATTTTCAATGTTTTTTTTTCTTTATGGTGCAGAACTTCTTAAAAAATATTTGACAATGTAATGATAAGTCAACCCTCGGCAAGTGGGCAGGTACAAATTTTAGGGTTAAATTAAAATTTTGATTAAAATTTTCACAAACATCTTACAATTAAATTGATAAAACTATAGTTTTACCTATAAAACCAATTGTTAATTTTTTTTAGCAAAATTTTTGTTGATTAATTTTGTTTGAATATATCATTTTAAATGCCATAATGTTTAACTTATTTAACCAACTAGGACTGAAGCTCACAGTTTTATCCTTAATTAAATTTATCAATATTGAATTTTGAAAAATGAGTAAAATATCATATTAACAGCTACTCAATGAGGCTTTGACATATCCTGCAAGTGTTTTCTATGTGATTTTATTTGTTTGAGTATAAAAAAATGTGTCATTAATCACATTGAGAAATTTGACAGAAACATCGAAGCCGAAAAAACACCATTTTTCTTTTATACAACTTGTGAAACAAGCCATTGAGCGAAAAAAACGTTTACCAGTGACTTTGAACTTCAAAACCTGGCTGTCATGATCGCTTGAAAATACAACCACTTGCACGCCGAGTTGAAACAAAATTAGATCAAAAGACTCTGAAACTAAAATAAATGCTCAGTTAACACAAATTATGTGGCATCCAAGGATATTTATGCAGTTTTTTTTTTTTTATAAAAGTGAAAATTGTTTATTCACGATTTTTTTATGCACTTTCGTGGTTTATAAACATGAATCACTTATTATTATTTTTTTTATACGTTTTATACAATTTATTTTATTTTTAAATTACTGAAGTTTAACAAATATATAATATTTATTTCTATTACTTTATATTTTTTTTTCAGTTAAATCAATATGCACTAAACTGTTCTGACATTCAAATTTTGTGTATTAAACATATGATTTTAAAAGCAAAAAATATAATTACTTATGTTAAGTAAATGAGAGAATTACATACATTTATAAAACATAAAATTTGAAATTGGTCCGGGTCTACCGCATTTAATTTGAACTTCAAGTATCTATTTATATTTAAATTTTGCAATTTAAAAACTATATTTCTGATCAAAAAATGAATATTAAAATTTCAGTGCTATTTTAAATTTTAAAAATGAATAAAAAATTTCAAAGTAGGGGAAAATTAAGAGTGCATAATACGCGGATAACAATTTTGATTGTGTTAAATTTATTTTGAAGTTTCATCTTTATAAATATAAGAGCTAGGAAATAACATAATTAAGATGGAATCTCTCGACAGGATGAAAAACCGACAAATTGCACCTAAAAAGTTTCTAACACACACCAGTGTGGCACACATTTGGCCGCGAATACAAATTTCAAATGCAAACGGTTCGAAAGGTCGCCCGCTCGTAAAACGAAATTCATTAGCTCCGGTCAGCATCCGAGCTAAAGCGGCGGGTGCAACTCTTTCTGTCGGTCGCCGAATGCTTCTCGGTACGTCAGAGAGTGAGTTGGATGGAGGAAGGCCTGGTAACCTCATTAGGCGCGCACCTGAGCGAGATGGAGAACACGCGGACCCCTTCCTCCGCCGCCGCCGACGGACGCCTACCTACATCGCACCGGCGCACGCCAGTTGTTAGTACGACGCGAACGCAGCCAAAGTGAATACGAACAAGACGCCAGCTCAGGGCCGCTGACTTACAATCCAAACGCACGCACGCATTCCAGGTGAGCCCCGAGACAGCAACAGTAAAAACGGCCCGAGCGCCTTCTTCGATATCGGAACCAGTGCACATTTTATCCAAGCAAAACGACTAGCTTTTTTTTCAAAAATTTCAAAAATTTATTTATTAAAAGTGACATTCATCAGATATAAGCTTAATTCAGATTAATATTGTTTGTTTAAGATTCTAGGTCAAGACTAATTGTAAGGAGTTTAAATTTATTATTAAATTATTTTTTATTTTATAGTTTGAAACTTATTGAAAAAGCATAATTTATTAGTTGGTATTTCTTTATTTTCCTATGCCACTCTAAAAATAAGGAAAAATCTGTTAAAAAAGGAATTCAGGTTTCAATTTATTTTAGTGCTTTTATTTATTTAATTATTTATTTATTTTATTTTTAGTTCCTACAGCTACAGATTCCGCGTGGTTTTTATTCTTCTCACGATGATTAAATAAATCTTTTGGTAAATGTGGTAGACAGGTTCTTTTTAAAATTTTGATTTGAGCCTATAGGAAATTTATAACGGGCTACGTTTCTTCACCTATTTTAAAAAATTTAACATTAGAGGAAAAAAGGATATAAACACATTACGTCAACAAATTAGATTTTACTTCGAAAAAATTAAAAATGCAAAATTGATCGCATGATCACGCTGGGTTGATATGTTAAAACATTTACTAACATTTTTGTACTACATTTTAAAATGTTGATTTAATTAATTAAATTTTATTTAAAATTCATTTATTTAACAAAAATATACAACAATAAATATACATTTGGGTTGTAAAATTCAAATCAATTCCAATTGAAAAATTATATTAGTTCAGTAGCACAGTTTCCATGTGATATTATCAAATTACTTTGTGGAATATTTTACAATTTATTTACTAATAATTTAAATACAAATAATCAATAATGTCAGTATCAATAAAGTAATCAGTAAAGGGTAGCAAATACGCTCTTGTCTACTATTGCATTGCTTGATTGCAATTCGATACGCTTATAGGCAGTTTGATTCAAGCTGCAGCATCACAAATAATACTGGTTTGCTTGTATATTATACTTGTCCCGGACGTGACCTTCATAAAAACGCGACGAGAGAATGTTTTACACATGCAGATAATTTATCATAGCGTCTCCTAAATACTTTTGGGAGGAATATGGTTCACGACGTGAAAGTCTTCCTCGTCTATTTTCATTTTCACCTATTCACGAATTTTATATATAAATTTTTTTTATCGCGCGGCCTATGAAGAGACGACGTGACTCGCGGTATATACAAAGCAAACAAGAGGCTCGTTGGGCATACATAAGCGGCCACAAAAGGCAGTGTGTGTTCCACATTTTCTTTGTGCGCCAATAGGGAAATGCCAAAATCGCCCTCAGGGCCTGTAATCACGCCGGATTGTGATCGGGAATGGACCGCACAATACAGAGCACAAAGACCGAATTAAAATCGGAGCGGCAGATGAAAGAGTTCACACTACAATCAATTTCACAAAATGTATATTCAGCGGTAATTAGCGTGTGTGAGCGCCAACAGAACAAGCTTTGTATGGAAAAAATGAAGTGAAAAAGAGAGGGAAATTAGTTCTCTCTGATATTGGAACAGACAAAGAGAGGATTAACAAATCCCGATGAGCGAATCATTTAAATGAAGCTGGCGAGTAATTTCAAACAAAGACTGAACGCTGAAAAATTGAAAATTTAGCGATTGCTAACAAAATCATCCACCGCCATAAATTTTGCTTTTTCAATCAATTTATCAAGTGAATTTTTCATGCATAGTTTATAATCAAAACAATTTTTTTTAAACTACAATGGATCTGCGATGGATTAAAAATACCAAAAAGAAGCAGTTGAACAATTTTACTAATTTTTATCACAAAATTAGTATAATATTGTTTCATTTTTGCATATATTCATTCGCAACGAAACACCTTGCTTGCTCGAACGGGCTCTTTTTTTGCCGACTATTTCAAATTTTTGAGCGCGCAGAAACAATGGCCGTGCGCAACTAATGCCTTTTTTCTTGAAATTGATATTTGATGCCAGGGAAGCTATATTTTCGTGATGGGCGATAAGCTTGAGACGCAGGTTAAAATGAAACTTTTCAGGTGTTTAATTTTTTTTTAATCAAATAAAATCCCGCTTCCTCGGTGAAGATGAGCAACTTTATTGTTTCTGTATGATACAGCAATTCCCTGCTTTCATGTAGAAACAATAAAGTTGCTCATCTCCACCGAGGAAGCCAGATTTTATTTCATCAAAAAATGAATTTCTCGAGTGTCATAAGGTTCCTCAACAACTTCATGGATCTCTATAGAAGTTTAAATTTGTGTTGGTTATCTTGTGAATCAATGTTTTATTCAAAAATAATTGTTGTGAATTAACTGATAACAGCTTTACAAAAAGAAGCCTGGGAATCTAAATGTTGAGCTGAAAAAAAATGTTTAAACCGTGCTATATTCAATATTAATTTATAAAATCTTTATAAATTCACTAAATTGCTTAATTTTGAAATTTAAATAAAAATATACCATTTTTATAAATTTTTCTTTTTAACTCATTAAATTTAATGACCAAAGTGGTCTAGCTTTCATGTTGTGCGTTATGCAATTCTTTGCTAAAATAGTGAAAAATAATAAACAAAATTAATATAATTGATCATCAAATATCTAGAATTAAGTTCTTTCCTGGGATTAATTCGTTAGTAGAATGCCCAACTGCAAGGCCTTCAACCTTCAATGATTTTTTTATAATAATTTAGAATTGCCATTAATGATTCTTCTCCACTTGGCAAAATATTGTAAATTATTTAATAAATGACTAAAATCTTTAAGTAATAAATTTTGGAACAATTTTTTGCAGTAAAAAATAAAAATAAAAAGTCGCTAAATGTGTAATTTAAAAGATCAATAAAAATTTAAAGTAAGGATAAATGCCCAATTCTGTCAATGAGATAATTTCGCTGTTGCGTTTTAGTTACGCCAACTTACCTAACAGCAGTCATCGTCTGCTCCTCTTTCACTCTGTTATTTGTGAAGACAGCACAGAAAATAAAATAATAATAAAAAAAAAAAAAAACATCACGCGGGCCGTGACGCTTTTATCAGATGCGAACTGCATCTCACGCGAGCATAATCAAGCCAAAAAATTAACAGGACGCGAAAAACTCCAAAAATTTCGGTAACATTACTTTTTTGCTGTCGTGGCTGGCTTTATTTATTTTTCGCGAAATTAAAGAAAGCACACTTTAACGAATCAATACCATCTTGTAAAAGCTTTACTGTTTTCATTCGCTCGTCTTCGTTTTTACTCCACTCTTTCTAAATGAATAAAATTCGGTCCGTCGAAGCGGCAAAAACCGGCGAGAATCAAATCGAATATTAAAACGACTCCAAGAAAGGATCCGCGCTGGCGGCTGCTCACAATCAAATTATGTTTGGACGAAGAATTGTTAAAGAGGAAAATCGTCAAGCGCCGCCAGAGGAAGATGACACAATTCTTCGAATTCCTTCACGCGCACGCAAACGACAGAGATTTTTCTCCTTGTTAATTTTTTTCTCATTTATAATCGATTACGCGATTTTTTTCCGTGCCAGGGCAATTCATTCCAAAGAGGAAACTGTGCTCAAAAAGTGTGAGCATAAAAATAGAAAAATGAGTCTCTTGCAAAAAAAAAATAATAATAATAAATACCCCGTAATATCAAATTAAAAAAAATCTAAGAGCTAATATTTTAACAAAATGCCTCTTTGTTTATCAAAGCAATGTAGAAAAATTGCACTTTTAATTGAGACATGATAATTAATTTGAAATTCATTTCAAATAGTAAGTTACGATGTAAAATGTAATGAAAATTTTAATTTTTTCTGGTTCAGACATTTTTTTGCTTCAACAAATTTATGCCTTTGATCTTCAGACTAGAAAAATGAGCGTGTAAAATTGCTCAATGGAAATTCCCTTTGAAATTGAGGCCGACGAGCCCACGTCGTCTTTGCCGCTGATCATCGGAATGATCGCATCAAGGAAATTACATTTTTCGGCGGAACTTCACACACAAGCGGCACCGGCAACCAGGAGCAAAATCGATCGGTTTATCCAAATTGAATGCGTCGCTCTGAATTTCCTGCGCGAACGGTTATTACTTGTGGCGTTACAGATATTGCGGAATTCAATCACAGTAGCGAATTGGTAATTGTTTCCCAAAACCAATTAACGGATTCCGAAAATTGTGTTCCATTCACTTTGAAACATCTTGACGAAGTTAAATTGCTTTACCTCAAGCATAATTATTTGCCTGACTTTCAATCAAAAGCTTTTGAATTAAACCGTTTTTCCATTTGGTTGCTTTTTCTAAAATAATCACGTTCCGTTTGAGTTGATTCGTGAAATGGTGGAAAGTTTAATTTTGTAAGGGAAATTTTCACCCTTTTTTGCACAGATTCCGCTCGGCTGCATCTCACAGGCCGGCAAAAAGTCATTGATTTCTCCGGGCCAAGGTCAAGAGCAGCGCGCCGTCGGATGCTCCACATACGCCTGCAAATTATAGCGGATTGCAATACCTGTTCTCCCTTTAGAGTCGCGCGAATCGATCGCATTTGTCCACGTTTACATAAACGAACACATACACCGTCCAGGAAATTCTCCACAATGCGAACACGTGCTTTGGTTTGCAAAGGCTGCAAAATTAATTAGTTATAGAAAGTTCATTGATGCAGACATTTTTCTATATCATGTGCACTAAATTCATCTTATTATAATTTTTTGTTAATTTAAAATAAATATTTACAGTAAATAAAGGTGCAAAAATAAGGAAGAAAATAAAATTCCATTAATTTACCAAAGAAAAGTGTACACAAAAATATTTATGAAGAGAAAAAAATTAATTTTGTATATCATTAAATATTGAACTAAATAATTATTATTATTAATTTATTTATAGCATACACATGGTTTTTTTACGATTTTAGTAATAATTTTATTATTATTTTTTATTATTTATTTTATTCAAGCATCATTTTTATTAATTTTAACATTTTCATTTCAGAGGCGGCGGTGGAATTGAATCGGCCGCATGTGACTGTTCCTGACAGGTCACCTTTCTTTCCTTCCCCTTCTCAGCGTTTCTTCTTCCCCTCATTCTTTCTTTAACCCACGATGCGAGCCACCCTTCTCTTGGCGTTGATCGCCCTTTCGGCCACACGGGCCGACGACGTGGACCAACAGATGTTGGCCAAGTTGAAGACGCAGTGCGATCAGAAGGTCGAATGGTCCTGCATGCAGGAGAAGGCCCTCAGGAGTCTCGTCGAGGAAGACGAAAAGCCAGTCACCGAGTACCTCTCAGGGTACCAAGTCAAGAAGGTTGAAACTGAACACCGGGCCAACCGAAGTCTGGACGACCCTGGACAGTACCTGATTGACCGCACCTGGGACTACCTGCAGAGCCACGAACTCGTCGTCTCATTCAACGACCCCGAAAATGGAGCTCGTGAGTCAGATTTTTTTAATTTACAAAAATTAATAATTTTGTGTTTCAGCACATTTGCAATTAAATGTTTTATTCAATTTTCCAAATCACTTTATAACGCAAAATTTGTGTCAAATTTACTTTCTATTTTCTTCCTCCCTTCAAGTTTGTTTGTATTTGCAGGAACGTTTTCAAATCCGATAGAATTTTTCGCTCGAATAGGTAAGCCGAGCATGACAACCACTTTCCTCTCACGTGTGTCTTTTTCTGGCTATTTTTAGCTGTGGTGCGTGACCCTTTTTCTTCTGGTAAAATGACTCTCTGTGATGATCTTCCTTTTATCCTCTCTCCTTGTGACTTTGGTCGGTGTTGATTTACTGCCTGAAAAAATAATTTTCCCACTCACTACTTTGTCAGTAACTCTTTTGCCCCTCACGATGTATTTTACGACAGGGAAGAAAAAATTGGCCCACTTTTCAAAGTGGGTCGAAAATAAACCTGATACGATGGAAAGGGAAATAATAACAGTGTTGGAATTTTCCACTATATTATAGACGCCGATTGCATAGAAATGATTTCCTTTTACACCAACGGACGTGCATGCAAACGTAAATGCACAAAGGGCAACTAAAGCAAGATCGTCGCTGGAATTAATATACAGAGCTGCCTGCGTTTTAATCACGTAACGTTTCTAAACAAAGCGAACCGGGGGGCAGTGAAAAACATAATTATTATTTTTGTTCTTTTTGGCCAATCATTCTGGATGTGGGTCAACTCTTGAAAGGAAAAAATCTATTTGGGTTGCAAAAAGAAAAAAATGCCAAAAAAAAAATTAATGATGACAATTGACATAGTTTGGAAGCTTTCACGAAAGATCATTTATGACCCCAGGTGGTGACGTATAAAATAAGGGTACATTTTACAGTAAAAACCAAATTAATTTTGAATATAAATAAGATTGAATGTTTTTCAATAAATTAATGGCCCTTTATTGACATAGTCAAATCAGATACAAAAATGGTGGTTAAAATTTCCAATTGTTATCAAATAATTTTTGGAAATGCCTCCTATTGTTGGAAAGACTTAATTTGACTATATCAATATAGAGAGTCTAAAATTATAATTTATTTTTTATGATAGTAATAAATTTCAAAAATAGGATTTAATTTTTGGATTAACCATTGATGTAATTTGTGTAGAACTTTAAAACTCTATTTTCACGCTTTCTGATTTTTAGAATAGATAAAAAAAACGTTTGATATGGCATGAAATTGTTGTGTTTTGATTGAACGTAAATAAGCCGGTCGCGCTCACTGCCCCGCAGTCTCACTCCGGCCCATTTGCGTGAATTTTCCGCTCTATGAATTTTTATGCGCTCCCTCTTCACGTGCTCCTTATCACCGAGCGGGGCACTTAGTCCTGTATGCAAATATCGGACGCGTCGTTAGGCCGTGAAATATGCGCCGGTCGACGATTACTTCCGAGCGACCGGTGGCGAGGAAAGCAAATGAGCCGAGAGACAAACGAACGCAAAGTCCTTTATTGATCACTGGTCCGCGTGGGCGCGTCAAAGCCAGCATTTTATTTATTTACCATTTCGGTCCTGCGCCTCGCCCGTTCGCCGCCGAAAAGTGTTACATCTCCGCGAAATCATCACTTCTCTGCAATTGTGAAAGGCGCCTTTCGGAGCTTCCATTAGCTCGTGGGAGTTTCTGTTTGCTTGGCTGAATTAACTCGATGGGAGAACTCGCAGCCGCAAAAATTTTTGAATTAATATCGCCACACGCATCCCTACAATGAATATTCGCGGTGAGACTGGAATTTTATGCCAAATGTTTAATTAAAACAAAATTAGTAGTGTCTCTAAAAATTATTGTACAGATTTACAAAATTAATATAAATAGAGACACAAAATTAAATATTATGTATTATTTTAATTATGGACAAATTTGAAATTTATTCAGAATAAAACAGTTTATATAATTTGCCACTATTTAAAATTTAAAAGTGGAATTTCTGCATAATTCTATATTTGATTGATATTTGAAAGTTTAAAAAATTATAATAATAATTTTAATATAAAAAATATTTATCTATTTATTTATTAGATCGTTTGGAGTCAATATTTGGATTTACAAATAAAATTTGCTGGAAGGCAATAAGTTATTAGGATTTTTTTATAACATTTCCGAGTTCCAAATTTGTGAATTTCTACTTCCTTTTTATTTATTGACCTCTCAAAAATAATATTTTTTTTTTACGATGTAATCTGTGATCTTCTTTCCAATTCACAACGTCATTATCATTACAATTAAATAATTTAGAGGTCATGACTTTTACTGCAAGGCTAATCAACGAATTGGAACCGCGCAAAGTGGCGAGCGCCTCTCAATCTATTCTTATCTTCTTCCTTCCGAGAGAGAGATTTTTTACGGCCAGCCAAACCAACCGCCTAGATCGGCCGCAGTCGGTCATCTAACGGGCTAACAAAAAGCAAGGTGCGTCAATTTCACCGATCACTCATATTTATCGTGAATAGCTCATTCGACAACACCATTGTGAGGAGAATAATCGAAATCACTCTCTCGCTCCTTACGAAAAATTCTCACCCGGCATTGTGTTTGCGAAAACGGCGGCCAGACGTCTGGCTTGATAAAAAAGACTATCCATTTGAACAGCCGTTCGGGGAATTCCGCATTTGCATTTATATGGAAAAGCGGCTGTGCCAAATAAAAGGCACCGCCTGTGATAATTACTCCAATTAAACTTCACTTTTTTCCTGTGCAAAGCTACTTGCTTTGCTCCACCCTGATAGATAAGGCTACTTTGTGCCGTTTTTCATTAAGCTGGCGGATCAAAGCGGCTAAACTAGATGAATGCCTTTGAGGCAGCGCAGAATCATTAAGTGCGCACAGGGCCAAGTTATGATCCGCATCTCTGCGTTAATTATTTATTCAGCTTGCGTTCGGTATATTTGGAATACACTTGAGAAATTATTTCGAGAATAGCCTTTCAACCGGTCGAATATCTCAAAGTTAATAATATACATTAATAACCAAGTCATACTCTGGGGAAAATGGCTCTATTTGGCTCGCTTATGATTTATCCACGGTTTCATCAAAATCCTCTCAAATAGACTGAAGGATATGCAGAGATGAAGGATTTGCATATTTAACGCTTGAGTAGTTTTATGATTAAAATAATTAATTTCCAATTCTCCTACCCAATCAGTAAATTTCTGCAAATGCCATAATTAAATTTACAATGATACAATAGAAAAAAAAAAAATGCAACACCCTATTGCTATTTCAAATGTTTATGTTTTGGATTTTTTTAATTGAATTTTTAATAAATCTACATCGGAAGAGTTTTTTCAAATTATCATTTCTATTACAATCTTAGTTTTAAAATACAGGTATGTTCTTATAATAATAAAATTATTAATTATAAAAATGTTTGTAATGTAATTTTCCACACAAAAATCCATTATTTATTTTAATAAATAAACTCGTCTGATAAATTTTATTTGATTTATAATTCTAAAAAATTTTATTATGCACTTATTAATGAAACTACTTTAATATATTAAATAAATAAACAAAATGCCAAGTAGCCGTGTTTTTATTTAGTGCAATTTATAAGTTAAAAAAACATTGACTAATTCAATTTTTCTTAAAACATTTCTAATTTCTTAAATTTCTTCTCTTATTCAGTGTAACCCTCTCGCACGTGCACTACTTCTGTAATCTCTCTCCCTTCAATTTTCAGTTTTTTCTGCACAGTTTGACAAAATTGAAATTATTTTATCATGGAAAGTAACAAATTTTTCGTTTTTCAGCTCGAACGGCCAGCGCCAACACCTTCCTGACGGGATTCGGTCTCGGCTTTCTGGCTTTCGGCCTCAAGAAGCTCCTGCTGCCCTTCTTCATCGGCGCCCAGGTGATCAAGTCCATCCTGCTGGCCATTTTCCTGCCCACCCTGTTGACCGGAATCGGCAAATTCCTCGGCAAAAGCGGCGCCAGCATTTTCTCTGCCTCCGCCGGCCACGGCCACAGCGGCGGCGAGGACGAGTTTGACTTCAAGGACAACTTCGACCCCAACTACGAATCTTCAGGTTCGAGCAACGTGGCCTCCTTCACGTCCTACCCACAGAAAAGAAGGGACTCCCTTTTGACCGCAGGTGCCGGTTATGGCGGTTTTCCGACCGGGGCTGGAGGACTTGGTGGACTTGGTGGCCTCAGTGGCCTCTACGGAAAGAGGCCGATCGCCGCGTGGCCCTACAAGCGGCCGGTGATTCCCGACTACAAAACGTTCGCCCGCGTGCCGGACGCGTCCCTCATCATGTCCGGCTTCGACCCCTACTACAGCCCAATTGTGTCAAGGCTGGACGTCATTTTCAAGCAGATGGGCTACGAGAAGAAGGGCGACGAATGCAAAAAGAGGCTCATCTGCAACATGTACCAGCAGCCGGCCAAGTACGCTCCGTACAGCAACCTCGTGTCGGCGCAGCTCAGCAGGTGAATTTTTTTAGGCACATAAATTGATAACAGGCAAAAAAAACAGCACATAGGTTTTAAACGTATTAAAAATTATGATTTTGCTCTTGAAGCTTTTTAATTAATATTTCATTTCAAATTAATAGTTAAATTTAAAACAGATATAAAAAAAGAATTAGTTATAGAATCTCATTAAAAATAGTCTAATCGTGAGGCCAGGAATATTTAAAAAACAGTCAAATTCTAAAAAAATGTTTTCCAGAAAAAGGTTAAGGACTCCTTATTGACATAGTCAAATCAAGTCTTTACAACAATGGTGATTAAAATTTCCAATTGTCCTTCAACAATCGCAAAAATCTGTTTATATTGTTGTAAGGACTTGATTTGACTATGTCAATAAGAAGTCCTTAATGATTTTTTCATGCATTATTTGAATACATTTTTATTTCAAAGCTTCACATAAGTAAATTTTAGTTTCACAAAAACTAATATATAAAAAAAAAATTGAAAATTAAATCTAGAAGTGAAAGTTCATTTGCAACAATACGAATTAATACAATTGGCAAATTGTAGTTTAACAAAAGTAAACACAAACCTTATTTAGTGTATCCTAAGCACACCTTTTCTTTTCCACATTCTTAAGCTTTGATTCGCGGTGGCTTCCGTGTCATGTGCATTTTAAGTCGATTGCCCTTTTTTAATCCATCAAGTTTGTGGGTCAAGTGCAGCGGCCCATTAATTTGATTAGGCACTTCCTTTTGTCGGGCGTGCGTCCATTCATTCTTTTTGATGCCGCACATGCATCTCCGTTTTTTCCGTAATTTAATCCGGCAGAATTATAACTGTAGCCAGATATAGGACTCGTAATTAGCTCTCGTCAGCTCTGCGAACCGGCGACTGACACACAAACTTTTTTTAGAGAATTGGAGTTAATGCATTAATTGCTAGCTTTTCGTCATAAAAATATTATTTCTGTCTCGTTTACGTGGGTGTTAGTGATACTCCAATTAAATAAATAAGAGGAAAGGTGCAATTATAGTATTGTTTGACAAAAATAGCTCTGAGGAAAAGTCAACACTAATTGCAAAACAGTAAAATATGTCTTTAAAAAAGTTCAAATGCGTTATATAATAAAAATGAAAATATTAATTTAGAGCTGATCTTATATTATATTTAAAATATTTTTTAATTTGATTTAATAATATTGATTTTTTTTTTAATTCTGAACTTTTTTAATAATTCTGGGATTTTCAATTGATTTAATATAAACGTTTTTTGATCTAATAATCAATCACAGAAAATTCTAGCCCCTTGTCACCTCTGGAATTAATTTACATGTGTTTTTAATTAATCAAAAAGGAAGCAGAAGCTTTGCCGCGGGATACAGATATGGTCATCGCATGTACGCAATTGCAACTGTGCAAAACAGTTAATCAGCCGTTGTAGAAGCGACTTTGGGCGTGTCCAGCGGTCGAGGTCGCGAGCGGCCGTTTATTTGCATTTTTTGCATATTTAGGCCACAGCTCGGAGTCACACACATATGGAAATGATACACGGGACATGCAATGCCGGAGATGGTACCATTTTGCTAATTCGTTAGTCAAACACACAAAACGCAACACTAACAATTTGAAACGTGCGTGGGTATTTTAGAGCAAAATGTTAGAAAATTTGGCATTGACAATCCCAGAATAGCGATCACTCATCACACCGTGATGTGTATCTTAACTTTTTAATTTAATCATTAAACTCTTGTTTTTTTCTAAGAAATTAATTAAATTCAATCACGAAACTCATGGATTTACGCAAGATGAACGAATTATATTTAAAGTAATATTACATTAAAATCTCAAAATTATGCAAACAGATCTATAAAATATTTTTTAAATGCAATTTTTTTCGACAGTGTGTTTAATTTGTCAGCTAATATTTACAGCATGTTGATTTTGTGTGTTAAAAGCTGAAAAAAAATTTAATTATAAATTTTATAAGAAAAATTATGCAAATTAATACGTAAAATAAATAAAGATGTTTTTAGAAAAAAATTATAACATTATAATTAATTAAAAACTTCATTTAATTGTTAAACAGTTCGCATTACAAACCTATCATCAGTTTTTTAATTCGTAAATTATTTAAAAAAGATTATTTAATACGATCTCGTAGCAAATGAAAAATAAGACTAATTGAAATATGTTTTAGGGATCTGAGTGAATTGCAGAAGCCGACGCAGAACAACAAGGACAGCCTGCGCTTCTTCGCACTGATGAAGGCGGCCAAGGATGGTCAGGAGGGTTCGCATTGCGCCATCGCCTATCCCGACTGCGACTCCGAAGACTCGACAGACGAAATTTTGCACCACTTAGACGGCGCCAAGGCGGATCAGTCGACCCTGTTCGGCTCGGCAAGCCCTCCAATGGTGAAGACCTACCACGAGATCAACAAACTCGTGCAGGCCAGACGCCTGGCCAAACAAATTGCCCAAGCCGCAGAGGAGGAAAAGCAGCAAAAAAGTGCACCTGCTTCTGCATAATTTGAGAAAATTATTCTTTTAAATGGAAAAGAGGCGTTAATTTATTTCGGGATGAGATTTTGCAAGAATAGTAAACACACGATAGATAATTTTTATATTTAAAATTCCATTTTTCTTCCTATTTTGCATGTAAAAAATGAACCTTCTTTTCTTATTACTGGAAATTCTTTGACATTTGAAAAAAAATTATGGAAATATGCAGAAATATGTAAAAGACAAAGAGGAAACAACTTATTTTTTGTTTGCAACGAGGAAGAAGACGCAGATGCCATGGCGAAGATAATCAAAAGAAAATTGGAAAAGTGCGTTGCTCATGATATGAGAGAGGAAGCCTACGTGAAAAAAAATGGACTTCCGTGTTACGGAAAAATAACAAGAATTGTTCTGTGCCAATACAAAAACACGACGAATAAGTTTAGTAATTTATTTAATAGCTATTAAGTCTTATTTAATCTATTATTTATTTATTTAATATATTTAGTTCAATTTAGTTAATAAAAATTACAAAAAAGAGTTAATTTGTATCTGCTGCTCACTTTTCTCATTGTATGAAATAAATCTGACTCTGGGTTTGGAAATCAAAATTGTGTCTTTTTAATTTTAAAGCCATATTATAACAAAAAGTCCGAAAAATTGACTGCTAATTTTAATAAATTATAATACATTATTTATTTGAATTTTTAAATTAATATCAGTATCTGAAAATATTGCCAATAATATAATTATTTTAATATATTTTAGGCGAAAATCAGTCCCAATTTAAAGGACAAGATAAAATAAAATATGAAGTATTCAAAGCCCTAGATTTAGCAAAATTTTGCAAGTCCACATGCTTTCATCAAATTATTTTCCTTATTGCCGAAAGATGCTTCTCAGAATCGAAGCGCCCTGCTATGTTTGTCTCAGAACGAAAAGCAATCCCATTCTCTTGGTGACATGTTTGCGTAGGGATTCCCTATCAAATTGGTCCATTCACTTCAGCACCATTCAACCATCACCACCATATCAGACGAAAAATAAACAACTTGCGTAGCCCTTTGATAGAAGCTGTGTTTTTTTCTTACACACTTTCTTTCCCACCACAGAAAGATTATCTAACCGGAGGATTCCCGGGCGCACGTTACCCAACAGCCTCTATTATGTGAGTGCGTTGGTTACGAGGTTCTAATAAAGTGCTCGCACTCTCTTCGGAGGAAATCCCTGGAGGCCGAGTGAATCACAGGTCAGACTACCGACCAGGATCCGTGTCGAAGAGAAATTGCCTGGCTGCTTGTCGGTGTGCCGATCACGATTGGTAAGAAACTCACGAGGAGAAAATAGAGTGTGTTTGTTTTGAGCTGACTGAGCCGGCGATCGAGTCATTGTTTGGCAGCAACGGGTTGTGAGAATAGGGACGTTTATCACGGAAGTGTTTTTTGCTCCAAAAAATTATAATACGTAATTTGACACTTTCATGCTAATGAAATGAGTAGTGTTTTAAAAGCCGGATTGCACCAAGAAGATTTTTAATGTCGAGGAAAAAATAAGGATATCAAAAATAAATCCTCTGTTCTACATTTATATATGAGCGCAGGAAATATAATGAAATATAAAATTTACAGTGCAGATCATTATAAACACATAATCAACCTTAAATGAACTTCTGCTTCCAAAAAAGAGTGCTGAAATTTTTACTTACTACTTGTTGATCTCCAAGTTTGTTTCTCACACATCGCTGAAAAAATAAACTGTTTGATAAAAAAAATTATTTCACCTAATATAATTAATGACTAATGACACCTGATTTTGTTGAAATTTATATAACCTAATGTATGAAACTTAAAATTTGTTTAAAAAATAATTAAAAGAAAAATTAAATCAATCAAGAATTTAAAAGCACAGTTATTGGAAAATGATATATAAAAATTCTTGTTGCAGAAAGGAATTACTTTATACAAACTCTTTAACAGATTAAAAAAATAATAATAAAACTTGGAAAAATAATTCATAATTGTATATTTCTACACATTGATAATACAATTACCAATTATTTAAATTATATTTAAATTTTAGTGAGCCAAAAATAATAAAATAATTAAGTTGAAAACCACACAATTGAAAACCTAGCAATTTTAACATTTTTTAATTAAAGCTGAAAAATGCAATTTTTGATCAAAATTCATGAATATTAAATTTAAAGTAAGATGGAACTTTCATGCACAGAAAAATAACGAAAAAGTTGGATTTCTTTAATTTTCTATCTCTCTTAGGAATTTTACCCTGCTAAAAATTATCTGAAGGGCCAATAAAACATGGATCTCGCTTTCAGACCGTTGAAACGGCTGTCCTTCGACCCACTGCTTAATTTGATATTGAATAACATCCCTTACATCACGGTACAGCAACAATGACGCTCTTGAAAGAAATATGCAAACAAGGATGACTTTTAGAGCACGGTATCAATTTTCAATTACTAAGAGTTCCAAGAACGGCAGGTAAAGGTCAATAAAAGTTGTCTTCAAAGATTTTTTCAGGAATTTTCAGTAATTCAGTGTGAAGAATCATAAAATAATCCTATTTTAAAAAAAAAAGTATATCATTAGTGACTGAAAATTCAACAATTGGATTTCTCCATTTTTTTATTTGAGCAAATTTTCGTATAATTCATTGGCCAAACAAATTGAAAGCTCTGGCCAAAACAAAGCTTTCCGTTTCGCGATTGACGATTTTCCGCTTCATGTTCCATTTAGCCGGTACCATACGGTCCGCCGGCAGTGTCACGGTCACGGCGAATTTCGCAATTTTCGATGCAGATGTTGATCTACTGGCAAAATAAATCGATGGAGAGAGAAAGAAAGGCTTTCACTCTCGCTCGCAAGGGATCAATGGCTCCTCGCCGTGCCATTACTCCGTCCAGCGTGGGCTCTTTATTAGCTTTCATTTATTATTGTGGCGCTTCCCTCGTGAAATAAATACTGTGTGTTATGGCGAGCAGCGCAGATTGCGTTTTATGATATCAGAAGTACCCTTGTGCTTGCGAATCGTCGAGGCGTATTATTGTTTCGCTCAAAATGAGAAAAAAAGTGGAAACTACGCAGTGATGATGATGATGAAAGGTTGAGCTTTTCTCTCTCAAAGGAGATGGTTAACGTTAACAAACAGTTTATTAAAAAAATAATAATAATAATTGCAAATCTTTGTCACTTATTCTATCATTTGATATTAGCTTAATTAAAACCTTAGATAACGTTTTAATTAGCTCATTTGCAACTGTGGTAAATTTTTTCTTTCTTAAAATAAATTATATTGGCCACCTTAAAATGTAATTCCAGCGTTTTTATTAAATAAAAAATCTGCAAAATGGAAGTTTTGTTCTGGATTTAGTTCTCATAAAGCAAAAATTTGAGCTGAAATAAATTTTGTTCTAGAAATTCACAATTAAGGTGGAATTCATGTTTTTAGAATTGAAGTTCGGCTATTACTCGAAGAGTTGTAATGAGACTTTATTTGTATGATTTTCGTTTGGAAGTGGAGCGCAGGAAATTTTTTTCTTTAACTAGTTCAATAAAAGCATCAGCAGTAAACACAGTAAAGACTCATGCAACGCGAGGTCGGGCGAGCTGGAATCCAAAAAAACCCTATCAATTCTCATTTATATTTGTCTTCAAATTTCCTAAATAAATTAAAAAAAGCTCCGGAATCAATTTTCCCTGAAGAGAGGGAAATGCATGCTTGTGACGCAGAAATTAATAATTCAGCTGCCCAATTATGTTACGATAAGTAGCTTACGGTGTTAGCTATTTGATACTTCATCGATGTGTAGACCAGCAAGCTTAAGATCAAAAAGGTGACTTTTTGAAGTCAATTTGCTATACAGTTTCGGTAGGGAAAACGTGCAACCACTCCAAAAAGGGTCCAGACTGCCACAAAAAAGCACCAACTACCCGGCAAGTGATCTCTTGGGGATTCTTTGGCGGTGCCGCATCGTGAATACAGAGGCAAGGTCATGGCGCCGTCGGCTGCCTACGCACCAGGTCTTTAAAAGAAGATTTTGCATTGCGAGGAGAAAAGCACTGAATCGTTTTGCTAAAAATTGAGCTGCTATTCATTATTAAGCATCATTAGTCGACTAAGTTGAATGGCTTGATTGATACTTTATACAAAAAAACAACAAGGTATAGAACTGATGAAAAGTCACTCGCTTCTGTGTATCGTGCAAAATCACAGGAAAATGACAAATTATCAAGTACCAGAAATAACTTTGAATAATTATTGTTTGAAAGTTATGGCATTTCTCTGTGAAGATGATATGATAAAAATATTGTAATTAAATAAAAAAAAAATTCCAATTAAAAATTAAAATTTTGATTTTCATAATTTGAAAAGGAACTTGCGTTACATGTCAACCATCAAATTGTTTTGATTGGTGGTTTGAAAGCTCAAATCAATCTCGCTGGGCTGGTAGTTTCATGGCGGAAAAGTTGAATTTGATTTGGTTCAGTATCAGCATTTTACTAAGTAAAAACTGTAACCTGTGAATTTGTCTGCTATAATTTTTTTAAATTAAAATTTATATTTAAAAACATTTCTGCTAACTGATACTTTTTTCATTTTCAATTATAGTTTTATAATAAATAATATTGTTAATATTATGGCAAAAAATTAGTTTTACTGGCCCATGATATTTGAGCGATTGTGTTTGTGGGATAAAAGCTTCAATGTTTATAATAGCTAGATTTATTTTTGAAATTTATTTAATTATATGTTTACTAAATAGAATTACTTTAATTTTTAGAAATTCTTACTCAATCGGTACTGTGGGTATTACTATTAAATATTATGAGGAATCATTATTGAAAAATTCTGTTTGATAAAAAAAATGGTATAAAATAATTTATATATTTGGAACGAACAAAAAGTTGTTGGAAAAACTGCACCACAAATATAGCAACCGTTTTGCAAAAACGTTCGAACATATCAAACTGTATTCAATTTACTCTTGTTTTTTTAGACGTTTTTTAAATTCTATCCTGTTGTTATTTAATTTGAATTGAACTCAAAGTGTTTTCCTTTAAAAAAATCCCAGATTTGCCAGTTAATTTAAAGATCCTGTTGCGCCGCACCTGTCGCACCCCGAGCCATCCAAAAAAGAGCAAAATCCACGCCTTTAGTCATGCAGGGCTTTAAATCGAATGATGCATAAAGACCGGAGCGTAGGTGCAGTGACAGTGAAAGTGCTCTCGGGACTTTCATATTACACAAAGATCGATTATGCATGTATGTTTTAACACGGGTCCGTCGCCGCCGTGCAAACTGCAGCAGGGGGGTTTTCCCGGCGAGAGTGAAAGTGGGAGCCGATATAAAAGCGCCGGGGCGGGCGGTGGGATCCAGTCGCTTTTTGCCGCCAAAACATAGACAGAGTCACCCGGCAGCGGTGCACTTGAAGACTTGCGGAGACGCGCCATCTGGAGTAACGGGACCGCGCGTCGAGTGTTTTGTTCAGTCGAGTGAGGAGCAAAAGGAAGCGAGCTAGAATTATGGGAAGAGCCACGCGGCTGCTCGGCGTGTTCCTCGTGCTGGTGGCCATCGGCCTCGGCGACGACGAGCCGCCCAAGTGGTCGTCGGCCAAGACCGACAGCAACCCCCAACCGCCTCCACCTCCAGGACCCGAAGGCCGGAACCGCGAGGGCAAGAACTTGCTGGCCGATTTGATTGGCCTGGGCACAGGACCTGAGACGGATCCGTACCTGGCCGCGGCCAACTCGCAGTGTCTGAACGGCGACCTGGCCGAGTGCTTCAAGTCGCGCGCCCTCGCCTCCATGGATGACTTTTTCCAGCAGGAGCGGTACCAGTTGGGCGACCACGCCAGGGTGGTTCGTCTGCCCGGCTGGAGGCAGCGCGTCGGCAAACAGTACGAGTTTTCGTCCAGCACCCCCAGGGCGGAGGAGACTGAGTGGGACCACTTTACCAAATTCTTGATGCGCAAGGCCGAGGACTTCGTCCGATCTGCGGCTATCGAAGTCAACGTGCCGCAGGAGCTGCTCGGACAGGAGCACGGACGCTTCGCGCCCCGCTTCGTGGATGAGATCGCCAGCGAAATTGACATCATTGAGGACAAGACTGAAAATTCTTTCTGTAAGTTTTTATTATTAAGCATTATTTTTCACAAAAATCCACATCAAAAGCAGGGGAAATAAAAGCAAATTAAATTTTTTAAACAATTTAAAGAAGCAATTTTGACTGACAATGAGCAATGATTTGACATCATCAAAATCATCTCCTTCATATTTGTAATTTATTTAATATCAATTTAATACAAATCCTCCATAACATACCAAATGAATATCAAATTACGACTATGCGAATAACAAATAATTAAATAATTTCTTTCTCGCTCCATTAAAGAGTCGGCTCGTATTTCTGAGAAAACGTACGGTCGGTGGTTTCCCGTTTCCAACTGGAAGCTGAGGAGAAAGCGCGATCTTGCCCCTGACAAATAATGATTTATTTGTGCATTAGAGCTCGGTAATTGACTATGCAATTTTCTCGTACACGTGTTAAACTCAATTGATAAACAGAATGCGGTCGAGGGACGAGCCGCTGTTATTGCGTCCGGTGACGAATCGAAAGCGGTGAAATAATAAAAGTGCGGTGACGCGGGCGAGCGCGTGGGTATGCAGCGTGCGTCGCATGGGGGATGAACCCGTTGCATAACCCACATTCCGCAGGGGCTTGGTCAGGCAACAAAACAAACAAAAATGTAAAAGGGGCAAACTTTTGATTGAAATATATGAAACAAAGCTGGCATAACTTTTAAATGATTCCGTCCCTACAGAACGTAATTTTTATATAAAAAGTTGGAATTCATTTATTTACCTAAATGATGTAAAAAATTTATATATTGAATATTAATATTACCTCCTTGGTTTAAATTTTTTAATGATGGATACAATGTTTCTCGCTTTTTCATTTATTATTTAATTGTATTAATTTAATCAATTGAGTTTTCTATTAAAACCATTAATATTTATTGAATTCCCCTTTAAAAAGAATCTCCAAATTTTTATCCAGGTCATATTTGAGCATTCTGAGTATATTTTTATACTGTGATATAAAATGGGCATCCAGCCAATTAAATTTAGGTCTGCCTGAATAGCCACGAATCAGGAATCGCATTCACTTCACTTGTTAAATTCAAATCAAATTATTGCGAGCATCCATCACGCCTTTATTAAATACAGCTCGAGCGTGCCACATTTGCATCATTATCCGTCGTGCATCTGTTATACTGTATTATTGTGGGAACGTCGCACACGTGGGTGCAGCTCTCTCGGCGTACGTGCGCGCTGATGCAAGCAAAAATGCCGCCGCCGCCGACAGAGTGGCTCTCTCGCGAAAGTAAGACGCACACGTAATTTACAATGACGACGAGCCGCTTTTTTGCTTGCTGCGGTTAGACGGTCGACGACGAGCCATTGAACTTGTAAAAATTTCAGCCTCATTGCCTCTGGCGAGCGCCACTGGCCCACTGACGCTGAAATAAAACGCAATGACTGAGATATGGAATCCAGTAACCGAGATTCTAGATCTTTCTTAAAAATGGCGTATTTTTTTTCTTTAAAAAATAATTTCATTTGGTCGGTTTTCGGAAGGATAATTTTGGAAAGGATTAAGAAATGGTTAAACATAAAATTTTTACCGTCTTTTTAAAAAATATTTGAAATTAATTGAGCCGCCACTAATTTTCTAATTTATTTATCTAGATCTTCGCGTATTAATAAAATTAAATTAAAATTTAAATAAAAAAATTTATGAGAAGACATTCAAGTAATAATTAATAATATTCTATTTTTCAGCTCGTACCAAGCTTAAGAAGCTCTTCATCCCCCTGCTGATCATCCTCAAGCTGTTCAAGCTGAAGCTGCTGCTCTTCCTGCCCTTCATCCTTGGTTTGGCTTCATTCAAGAAAATCCTTGGCTTCCTTGCCCTCGTCGTTCCCGGCCTCATCGGCTTCTACAAACTCTGCAAGCCCAACATCCAGGGCCCCTACGGCAACTACGGCCACAGCAATTTCTACAGCCAACCACCCGTTGCGGCGCCGCAATATCCCTATTACGGCGGCGGCGGCTCTTTCTACGGCCGCGACACCAACAATCTGCAGACGGCGGCTTCGTCCCACGCCTCATCCCCAGTCTCATTCAGGGACCCCGAAGACCACCGAGACTCGCACCAAATCGCTTACCAGGGATATCCCCAGTACCAGTAAATTTTTACAGAAAAAAATTATCATTTAATTTTGAGAAACGATCAGTGCCACAATTTAATCAAATTATTATTTGGCAAATTCATTTTTAATTCATCTTGTGCCAGAGGATTTTAATATTTTTTTTTTTTTTTTTTTGTTCTTAATCATATCTCGCAGAAACTCAATTTTGTGATCTAAAATCTGCAAATCCTTGATTGGAGTGAATGGCTCTTGCTTGAAATTATTTATAATTTTGAATCTGCTGCTTGAAAATGTTGTATGCTTGATGGCGTATGTATTTGAAAGTGCCTTGTTACCTATTATCAGTATTTTTTATTCTACCCAGCTGTCAAGACACAATGTCAGCGATTGTAATTTATGTGTATGTTTGTAAATGTTTTATAAATATAAAGCTTTATTAGATATAAATATTGCACATTTTTGTCAAGTGAATCCTTTAAAAGTAGTTATTTGAAGATTGAAACAAAAAGGTCAGAACTTATTATAAAAGCAAGTTAAATAACCATTGAGTATATAAACGCCTATTTTGTAAGCAATAATGACACATATATGCAGTTTTTTTGCCACCGTTACTCAAACAGGTTCTTTCTCTAACTCAAGTTCTATTCAAAAGGTGGCATCAGAGTTGTTTTATTAGAATGAGAGTGGAGAAGCCGCTTTTTCGGCGTCTTGTAAGAGGTCAAGATGATTTTTAATAAGGAGTGAATTCGCGTGAAAACGTCAAGATGCTTTTAAACAGACACCAGATCTTTTTAAGAATCACTTAAACTTGGAATATGGAGACATAAAATAATAATATTCAAATGAAACTTTTCAGAAGGATTTCAAAACGGATTTATTTATTGTTTGATGAAATAAAAGTTTTTATTTCCTTGATATAGATTTTTGAGACATTTACTGGTCTATAGAAAAAAGTTTGTACGAGACAATAAATTATTCTAAAAACTAAAAATCCATCATCATCTAACTCTGATTGTCAGATAAAATATCACAGATTACATTGTCGAATCAACTTTTAACTCCTGCATTGCAAAATTGTTCAAATTATTTCATTAATATTCATACTAACATTATTTTTTTCTTGGAATTTGAATTTAAAATCAACATTACTTGTTTTTCTCTTCTTTTAAAAAGAAAAAAAAAACTGAAATTAAAGGGGAACTTCCAAGGTTTTATTTATTTCAAATTGTTGACTGATATTCTTTAGCTTTATAGCACAAGGAAAGTAAGTTATTTTGTTTTTGTTACATTTTTATATTGAACTTATTTATTTCTGTTTTGCCATTTCAGGTGACCAAGCTTTCCTGAACTGGTTCCTGCAAATTATCTCTCGTCTCGATGGAATGCGCCGACAATGTTATAAAAAAAAATCCAACTGCTGCTCAAATTTCATAGAAAAACTTCTAGAACAGGTTGGCATGAAATTCGGCGATGGCAAATTAATAGGGAGAACGATTAACCTGGTCAACGACCGGTCCGACCGCTCCCTTCTCTTCTTTGGCCTTTATTCGCAAAAATATAAATACGCACCCGCCGCAACGAATTTCAAGCAATTCACAATGAGAGCGGTCGCCGTCGTAGTGCTGCTGGCCGCTGCCGCGGTCACCACCGCACCTGTTGACACCGAGGAGGTCATCACCACAGAGGAAGTCCTCGAGACCAACAAGGTGCTGATAGACGTTGCTACTGACCTTGAGTCGGCCAACAACCCCGTCATTCCCAAAGCTCGATCCGCACAAATTTGTAAGTATCTTTTTTCCATAAATGTATTTAATAATACTTTTTTCAATCTATTTATTTCTTAATTTTTTTGTTAAAATTTTACTTTCGTAAATAAATTTATTTTTTGTGTGTTAAAACTTTCAATATCGAGATTTTGCAAAAACCTAAAAAAATTAAAAATTTTAAGAGGTTAATTAATTGTTGCATTATATATTTTGTTTTAATTTCAGCTGCGGGACAAGTTTTAAATCCTCTGCCACCGACCAACCCACCAGTGCCAACAAACCCCACAAACGCCCCCAACCCCACAAATCCAACCAATCCTCCAAATGATCCTAACCCACCAATTTCTCAAGCGAGCCAATTCAATGCCAATCAGCCTTCGTCAGACACTTTCCGTAGTCCTGCTCAACAGCAATTTACAGATGAAACCCGGAAAGGATCAAATAGCCCCAGGCAGAACTACCCTCAGCAAGGCTACTTCCCTCAACAGCAGCAACAGCAAGGATATAATCCTCAACAGCAGGGCTACAAACCCCAGCAAGGTTACTACCCCCAGCAACAACAGCAAGGATATAATCCTCAACAACAGGGCTACTACCCTCAGCAGGGCTATTTCCCACCCCCACCTCAGGGATACAACCCTCAGCAAGGAAACTTCCCTCCCCCACCTCAGGGATACAACCCTCAGCAAGGAAACTTCCCTCCCCCTCCTCAGGGATACAACCCTCAGCAAGGAAACTTCCCTCCCCCTCCGCAGGGATACAACCCCCAGCAAGGAAACTTCCCTTCTCCACCTCAGGGAAACAACCCACAGCAGGGCAGCTTTCCTCCGCCACCTCAAGGATACAACCCCCAGCAGGGTAGCTTCCCTCCTCCACCTCCAGGATACAATCCTCAGCAAGGAAACTATCCTCCACCACCCCAAAGCTACAACCCACAACAGGGCGGATACTACCCTCCTCCTCCTCCACCACCTCAAGGCGGTTACAACCCCCAGCAGAACGTTAACCCTCAGCAAGGATACTTCCCTTCTCAACTACCACCTTATAACCCCAATTCTCCCCAGGGCCAAGCGCAAAAGCAGCAGGATCCATCCCCTCAGAACCAAAATAATAATCAACCTCCCAACCCCCAATCAGGTCAGCAGTACGGTCCCTGCCCAGCTTTTGCACAGCAGCAGGGTGGACTACCACCTCCCCCACCTCCAGCCCAGCAACAAGGCTTTCCACCCCAGCAAAACGGTCCTCCTCCACCACCCCCGCCGGCCCAACAGCAGGGGTATTACCCTCCTCAACAGCAGGGTGGAGTTGGAGCAGTCGGGTCTGTCGGCGCCGTTGGCTCAATAGGCATCGTGCCTACGCCACGACCTCCTGCAAGCCAAACAACACCCAGTGCGTGAAAATTTGCTATGAACTGAAAAGACTAGGTTGCAAAAATTTCAAAGTATTTATTTATTTATGTGATGTATATAAATTTAAATTATATTTTTTTAATATAAAATAAAAATGATATTTTCAAAATAAAATTTTTTTAAATCTTATTCATTTTACCATCATGTTTCCTGCAAAAAATATTATTATTATTACTTATGGTTCTCGGTCAATACAAATATGAATTAAAATAATAAACATTGGCCAGAGTAATAATATGAGGAATAAGTATTAATTCATTAAATTAAATTTGAATATTATTTTTATTAAAAGGAAAAAAATCAAGTCTATGTTATTGCTTTCCGAGAAGATAAATCAGTGAGCTAGATTTTAAACTTTAATTAATACAATGAAATAAACAGAAAAACATTTTGGCCAATTAAAACACTTGACCCTGCTCCTGTGCTTGTCCGAATTTTCCCCTACCAGTTTGGCCACGTTACGATAAAAAAGACCGCCACAGACGCAAACTAGGAACAAAACGCCATGAAATCTAGAATGAGCGTCACCCTAGTACTGCTGCTGGCCGCCTTGGCCTCCTCGGTAAACTCAAATGATGGAAAATTTGGCGATGACATAAAACAACTGACTGCAGCCAACGAAAATTACGGTAAGGAATTGCTTCTTTGATCATTTTTATATTCTTAATGCACCAACACAATTAATTAGTTGTTAATTATTTTTTAAATCACTAACTTTCACAAAAAATATTTTTATGTGTTACTATTTCAATTAAAAATCTGTGATAATTTGCATTTTTTTCACACAAAAACAAACTTTTCAATAAATTCAGCTAAATATTCAATAAATTTTGTAATTTTACATCTCATAAAATAGCTATTATTAATTCTATTCTCTAAGTCATAATAATAAATTGAGAAATTGCATTATTTAAGACTGACAATTAATTATTAAAAATTTAATCAAGAGTGTATATCTCTTAAAATATATAAATGAGTACAGCTTTGAATTATACACAATCATAATGATTTAGCTGCAATTTTCAATTTTATTTTTAATAAATATTTTTGATTTAATTTGTCGTCATTTTACTTCTTTCAGATCTCTCTCGGCAACTCTCGCCACGTAACTCGCCGAATCCTGCAAACCCAACAAACCCTCCAAACCCAACAAACCCACCAAATCCAACAAACGCTCCAAATCCGACAAACCAACCGCCACAATCAAGCTATAACTGGCCCTGGTACAACCAGTACTACAACCAATATTACCAGAACTACAACCAATGGTACAGTCAGTGGTACAACACTCAGAATAACTACCAAAATAATTGGAACCAGTGGTACAATAATCAGTACAACAATAATCAATACTACCCACCGTATTATAGCCAACGACCTTATCCTAATCCACCTAACCCTCCAGTTTATCCAAACCCACCAGTTTATCCCAACCCTCCGAATCCTCCCAATTATTGGGGCTAAAAATACAGCTGTCTGATAAGCCAGAAGTTTGCTTCAATCTAGCACCAATATTTTAATTTATTATTTACTTCCCGCAACCTGACAATATTCAAAATAATGTACGACAACGGTCAACTTAAAAAAGATCAGTTTTGAACATTTAGAAGTATATTATAATATGCGAAAGAAAAAAGAATTATTGCTATTTATTTAAGTTTAATATGATTAGAATTACATGTTAAAAAATCTTTTCATGCTGTGCAATAAAAACGTTATATCAAATATGTATACGTTTATTTTCTTTAAAGTCATTCCCCTTCATTCGGTCATTGGCCTTTGCTTTTCAAAGTGATACATTATATAAATCCAATCTTTACCCGGCATATTCCTACACCTTATTTCAATACTGAGGCCTCTTCAGCACATATCCAATTATAAAAGGAATCGTTATAAAACCGGACCTGGAGATCTGTCTATTTTGCGTTTGCCTATTGCTGGCAGTTAGAAACAGGTATTATGCCCGAACAAAAACTGGATTTTCGTTTGCTAAAAAGATTGGGGCTCTTTCGGTCCAACTAAATCAAGAGGCGGCAAGAAGCTACTCAAGGCACATTCCCCTACCCGTCTGACCACTTTGGAGGTTTTGCTCAAACATTTTGATAGATAAAAACACGCAATAGACCGAATCTGGCAACAAAACGCTATGAAACCCAGACCGAGCGCTACCCTTGTGCTGTTGCTAGCGACATGGACCTCATCGACGCCTCTCAAAAGCGGAACAAATATTGGAGATGAGGCTCCAAGCACAGGCAACATTGTGCGATTGAGAGTTTTTGATTATTCAGGTATGCAGCACTTTTAAATTAAATATTTGTATATCTTACACTTAATAAAAGATTTAATTTTTACATCAGCTCCTTTGGATTGAACAATATTTTATACAAAAATTTATAGGTTTTTTGACGTACTTTAAATATTTTGCATATTTATTTAAATATTTTTTTTCAAAATAAATGGTACTCAATTGCTCATTTTTACACCCTAATAAATTTTTATTAAATGAACAATCATCCACAGTTGGTGTAGTGTTTACATTTTTCCCAACTTTTTTGCTCTTACAATTAGCACCAAGAATAATACCTTTAAACGCTATTAAAATGTGACAAATTAGACGAAGTAAATTTATAAATTTTTTATTTTAATTTAACAATTTAATTATCCATAGGTATAAAATGATAGCTATTAAATTAATTATGTTAATTCCAATGCAAAGAAAAAAATAGTAAAAATTAATAAATTTTTAGGGCCAAGATACATGAAACAGCAGATCAGCGTTGCAAATAATCCAGTTTTGCTGCGACAGTTCCCAAGCCTTCCCAGCCTTCCGAATCCGCCGGCACCTTTCAATCCGCCAACTATTCCAAATCCGACAAAACCAACGCCTCAGAGCCAACGCCAGCAATTCAAAGAGTGGTTAAAAAATTACTTCTATTACACCAATAACTACAACTTGTACAATCAACAACCATATCCAAACCCTCCAGTATACCCAAATCCCCCCACTTTTCCCAACCCTCCAAATTATCCAAATCCACTTCCCCCCTATCCCTACCCACCTCCACCGTACTATCAAGGGTTTTCTGCACCCTCGTCTCAATCAGCTCCGATCTCACAAAATTATCAATGGCCGCAGCAACAAAATTCTGACCCAGGAGATTTTGAATTCCCCAAGCCTATAATTTACAACCCTCCTAACGCTCTGAATCCGCCTAACCCAACAAACGCCCCAAATCCAACAAACGCGCCAAACCAGCCAAATCCACTGCCTCCACCTTCCGGTTTCCAATACCCAAACCAGCAAGGTTGGGCGGCTCAACAACAACCCTTCTACCCACCAAATTATCAGCAAGCTCCATTCGGATTTAATTACGCACCCCCGAACGGTGGTCCGACTGGTTTCAACCCTCCCAACCCCCCTAACCCACCGAATCCCACAAACCCTCCCAACCCTACGCTGCCTCCTCAACAGCAAAAACCGCAGACCGCTGGAAATAAGCCTCAAGGAGGGAGCGGCGGGAATAAGAAAAAAGGCACCACCACCACCACCCCCAGGCCGCAAATACTGACAGTAAACCCTCAGTCACCAAGTGGGTTTGTGGACAACCCTGAGCTGGCAGAAGTTTTGAAGGAGATAAATAAATGGAACTCAACAACACAGGCGCCAAATAATGTAATGACGGAGAGTTCAACGACTGCAGTAATACCTCAAAATTCTGAAAATAATAATAATCAGGCTGCCTCTAGTTCAACAGAGGGAAATGTTTCAAGTTCAACTACAGAGGGTAAAATTTCGACTCAGCAAGTTTTTGAGGAAACAACCAAGAGCGTTACAATTGCGCCTAATCAGATGCAAACCGATGGCCAAAATGTGGCTAGTAACTCTCAAATCTCAATTATAGATCAAAATACCCCAAGTGGCCCAAGTACGGAGAAGATAACCACCGATGCTGCAAATACCAACCCAACAGATGAGCCTGGTGTCTCAGAAAATTCAAGTGAGAGCAGCACATTGGAAACGGCGACAGAGGACAAAGTGGATTCAACAGAAAGCACCACCACTCCGGAATTTCCAATCATGAAAAAGTCGGCCCGGTCTGAAATTTTGGCAAGCGACGAGCCTCCGCAAAGAGACAAACCGCAAAAGTCGGTAAATTGTAACAACCGTGCTCATTTTCCGCCGCCCTGGTTTTACGTCCCACAACCAGAAACTCGCCCTTCAAATGAAAAAGTTAAGTTGCAAGGCTATTTCCTTGTGCCGTTTTCTTTCTATCCATCCGCCGCTCAAGATGCATCTTCAGAAATCTCCACCTCATCTGAACCTGCAGTAACGACGCCAACCCTCCCTACTGCTGAAGAAAGAATTGCGTAGAAGAATTAACAAAAGTGCACAACTAGGTGTTGGTAATGGGCAATGAAAATGCATAAAAAAGCAATTTCAAATGGGTGGTGCTGGTAAATTAAATTAATTAAGAGCGAGTGACTGCAGTTTTTAATTGTTCGAGTCTCTTCATGTTTTAAGAAGTTTTAATGAAACTGAGCTTGTATTCTAATTAATAAAATAATTTTATCTAAAACCTTCAATTTTCTGTAATTTTGTTTTGTAAATTCAAAATACAATTTTTTTTTTTTTATGTTTTTCAGTTTGAAAAAAGAATAAACTGAAATCAAAAAGACTTATTTTCACAATGATAGTTTTTTTTTTAAATTACTGTAATTATTATAATTTTGGTAGTATAATGCGTATAATGTTAGTATGGGTGCAAAAAGGAAGCACATTTCTACGCCGCCTTGATTCAAACAGGTGTTCTCGCGGCTGGTGCTTTCAGTTTTTATCGAAAGGTGGCAAGACTTGTCTGCTTCAGAGACTCCCGAGCATTTTGCTATAACGACTGCGGCACCAGTTGATTATTTATATTTATTAACTTGCATAGCTTTTTAATTAAATAGTCACTAATGTGCATTTGAAAACTTTATCTCCTTGTTAAATAAAAATTTAATCTACTTTCCTCATATCATTGAAGTTATTTCATTATAAAGTATTGTTATTAAAAAAAAAGGGAAAAATTAAGAAGAATTTTTATTTTGTGTGTTAAAGAAATTAAATATTTTGTTGGTGGCAGCCATGAAAAATACTTCAAATATATAAATAATCTCGAGCAATGTTTACTGGTGGATGAAAAAAAAATATAAGAAGTGTAACAAATAAGTAGGTCGGCGTACAAACAAATCCATTCACGCCAAGTGCAATCTCAACTCGATTGACCGGCAGGAGCAGTCGGCTCCATATAATTTCACTCCCGCGAGCAAGCGAAACAGGTAAATTATCACTCAAAGTGATGCAAAGCAGAGAAGATGGGATGATGGCTGGCAGAGAAATAATTTGAACGCGAAAACATTTTGCAAGCAATGCAAAAAAGTTGCTATGGAAAAATTAATTACAATTTTTGCATGGAGAAGAAAATTCGCTACTTTTAAATAATTTTGTTACTTTTTGAGTTTGGAGTGTACGATTAGTTGCGATGATTGCGCGTTAATGTCAGCCGAGTGAATTAACTCTTTAGAGAGTGAGCGGTGGCTATTTGAATGCTCGGCAGCATCATTGATGCGGTGATCCCGTTAGCTGCTGCTGCTGCGAGGAAAAGGAGAGGAAGAAAAGAAGGATTACCGTCCGCAGGCAGAACTGGGTCGGCCGGTCATTTTGATCTGCACGGCTCATCTCGAGTGGCGGTCAAGGCCGACCCCTTTGTGCAAAGGCGAAAGGGGTGCAAACCAGTCAGACATAATGTGCACTCGAGAAAATATGCAATCGACATCAATCAATACGCATAAAATCATTAGGATAGTTGATATCTGCTTTCATTTTCTAATCTTCTCCGTTTCGATCTATTTTTTTAACCAATATTTATGATCTAATTAGCTCTGAAGTTTAAAAAACAACTATAAATTTAATCTCATAAACGTGAAAACTTGAAGAGAATAAAAGTTTTCTGCTTTTCTCTTTACACTTTTTTTTTGTAGTTTCAATCAAAATATAATATTTTTATTTAAAAAAAAATCTGCTATGATAGAATTTTACTTTTATTTTAGTTTAAATTTTGTAAATAATTACAAAAATTGTGGTCAATTCTTAATTTGATTTTCTGTAGCAAAAAAAGTCTATATAAGATAAATTTTTTAAATCAAATCTTAGCACATTTAATGTGAAAATTTATATTTAAAATTGTTCAAATTAACGGTTTTAAACTTAATTTTACGAACATTTCAGAAAAAAATTTGATGGAAAGCTTCATAAATCCTTAAGACACGACCAAGCCACGTTATTCCGTTGAATATTTTAAAACTGGTTTAATTTTTTGTCCTCCATTCTTACTTGAAAAATTTTAAAATCTGTCCTTTTAGAGCATCTAATGAGCACCGGCAATTTTTTACCAAGTCAGCACACCAGGTGTTGAGGAATGAGCACTTGCAAGTGTAATTATCACCTTCGAGTACACACACTCCTCATCCATCATCACCCAGATAAGATTCTCCATTCATAACACAAACTCGCAAATGTACGCATAATATGAAAATAACTTTTGCTGCTCGGGAACGAGTTTTTCTATAATTTCTAGCTAGTGTGTCAGTAGGATAATTGCCGACAATTGGAGAAATTGATTAGCTTCCAACTACTTTTTAGAGCTAAAAGCAATTCAGGTAGATAAAACATAAGTTAATTCTTAAAAAAATCTGTTTTTTAAGAATTTAACTTTTGATAAAAAAAAAATTTATACTATTTATGTTTTTTTTTTAATATTAAATTATCTTAAATTCTATTTTGTTTATACATTTATTGATCTATTTTTATAATTTGATAGAAAAAATATTTATTATTTTAAATTTTCGTTCATAAAAATTATTTTATTAAAATCATTTATTATATAATATTATCAGCACAAATGTATTATTAATTTAAACTGAATTAATATCAGATGTCACAATTATGAAACTTAAATTTCTGATTCGGAGTTGATCTATTCTATTTCTAATTTTCGCTATATATGTTTTAATGCCCGCACTCTGAGTTTAGGCAGAGTCGAAGTCATAAATTACGCGTCGGTCCAAGTACAGTTTGCACTCTCCGTCATTTCGGATGCCGCGCGACTCCTTCCTAATACCAGATGAACAGTTATAGTTATTCATTTGACTCAGATTAGTTCACCGTCGTTGTGTCGCCACAAGTCTGATATTCAATTTCGATAACCCTAAATTGACATTTCCCAAAAAGGTCGGCCAGATTGAAATATTTTATTATCTCGTCAACATAAAAATGCTGCGTAGTTTTCTCGGAGGCTATAGGTAGTGAAAGAAATCGGTGTAATTAGGACAGTGCTGAGCAGAATCTGCTCGGACGAAAATTTAGAGCACCCGAATATGTAGCGAAAATGCTAATAAAAGCAATGAAAAAGTCGCCTAGGGACACACTTATTTTGCTGACGTCCGAGCACGTGTCTAATAGAAAAAAATGATTTAATTATATAGATTTTAAAAATTTTGCTTCAGGATTATTTTAATAAAAACGGTTTATTTTAAATATTTGTGCAAATCCGAGCCAAATTTAATTTTTATTTCTCATCAAGCAGCACCTGTTTTGACACATCTTCCTCTGCTTCGTCGCCATTCCCATGAAAATTAGGCCGCTCGATCTCTGTCACTCGATATTCCGCTCGCATTTCCGCTGTGATTTCTTCTTTTGCAAAAAAACCTGCCGAGCTGGTTATTCTCTCTCTTTCTTTATTCCTCCACCGCTGCGACGATCGAATGCACAAAAAGAAATAAAACGGCCCCGACAACGAATCACTGCTACTTTCTACGAGCATGTTTTTACTGTGACCCCCTATCTCGGAGATTAATTTTTTCCTCCAAGGCGGCTCCTTTGTCAAAATACAAATAGATAATTCGGTAGCATAGTTTTGAATATGTTTAAAATTTGGAAAAAAAATTATGATTAAATATTTTCAAGGGCTTAAATTTTAAAAGAAATAAAATAATACCTATCTATTAAATTCTAAAAATGATCCTGCTTTTGAAGATTTTTTAACAACATCCCAATTTTGAAATAAACCAGATGATCAATTTATGACTGAAATAAACTAATTATTACAGAATATAATTTTTTTTTATTGTTTTGACCGATAATATTTGACACCGTTTTGCCGTTCTTAAAGTGAAGTGCCTTTCAAGAGTTGCAATTTGCAATCTCTCTAAATAAAAAAAAAAAAAAAAACATATCAGCAAAAAGAGAGCGGAGATGACTTGCGGCTTTGGCATCCATAAATCACGGAACGTGCCGAGGCAAATTTGTATTATTTGTACGGTCACGACCGCGACGCATCGTGCAAACTACACGAAAAAGGGACGAGCAGAGAATCAGAAAAAAAAACACTTTCGCTCGCCAAAATGCCTCAAAGCAACCACAAAGCGATTATATAGGTGAAAAAAATTATAAAGCTTTCAATTCATTGATTCATCAAATCAGAGCTAATCACTCATGACACGCAATTCAATATAATCATTTTAGAAATAAAAAGTACCCAAACAAAATTTGAACAATAATTATCAAACTTACTTTCTGCATGGGTTGCCGAGTCAGCATTTTCCGGGCTCTCCACATCATCCTAGCAACCGAATCGACCTGGGAATGGAAAACAGAATTTTTTATCTTCTGATATGCAAGACAAAATTCGCCTTTAAAATTGCAAACTGATCACAATAAACATTTTACTCAACACCCGCGCACTGTCTTTCTGATGTGAAGATAGAAACTCAATGGTATAGTCAAAGTCAAATTAAGCGAATCAGTTGTATGACGCGTGTTGATCGTTTTTGTGCAGTTCTGGCAACGTTGAGCAAAAAATGAAAGAGTGTAAGTTGCCAGCGAGGGCGGTTTGAGAGCCAATCAGTGATAAAAGTGAAGCATTTTAAAATTTTCACCAAAAAAATAGATAATCCCTTCATTTTACTAACAAAAAAGAGTTGAAAAGTGACATTTATTTACTGCGATTAAATTCTGTTACTATTCATTGGCGCAGATTTTAATAATTTTATCTAAATAAAAAAAAAAAACGAAAATAATCATCAAAAATGTCATACTTCATATTTAATTAGAAAAACCAAGCATTCCAATGTATGTTTTTAAATTTATTTTTCAGTTTACTTGACTTGATCAGAATTAAATGAGTTCACGTGTAATCGGACTTTTCCTCTGTTAAAACCCCTCAGAAACAAAACACCATTTATGTTGTCATACTAAATGAGGTAAAAATCAACAAATTGAAAATAAATCAACAATTTAAAGGGGCGAAAATGCAGCAAATTAAATATAGGTGGATGAATTTGTATATTTTTTATATTATTTGCTATATTTTGAATGGAATATTTTTTGTATCATTAATCATTACATAATATGGACGCAGAACTAAGCCAACTAATCTTGATTTATTTTTCACAAATAAAATTTCAGAAAGGCTTATCGATATAGTTATAATTTATTTATGTGCTAACTTTTTTTAAAAATTCATTTTTTGATGTTTTTTTTCTGATAAAATGAAAAAAAAAATCAAATTCGTATTCCATTTAGAATATGCATAAAATTTGAAAATAGATGGATAAATATATTTTCCCACAGTTTCAAATAGGTTGATCTAAAAATTGAGTAATCCATAAACCCACTTTCAACGCGATGCCATCGGTCTGCATCTTTTCGCTGCCCGCCGATTAGACTCGTCACCTAAAATCCGTGCCCCGCTTCCTAATTAATTACGGCACGCCGCGCACACACGACCAAAACCTCTGGGAGATTTTTAAGCCGAAGGAACGGGACTGAGATGGAGAGAGCAATTTGTTTGTTTGTTTGGGTTTTCGAATTGGAGTGTGTGTTTTGTAGCGGCCAGTTGGAGCCAATTATCGCATTACGTGCACCAAGAACAAAGCAAGCTGGTCGTGCCGCAAATTTTTAACGAGTTCAGCCAATTTGCGCAAAATTTGCCACGCTCGCATGCGTATGATGGCGCAATTTGTATACCTGTGGGAATAATATGAAGAATAATCAACGTTGACAAAAAAAAATTATCCCACGTCACTCATTTTGCGTCCTTTTTTTAGATTTATTGAAGTTTTCGGAGGGCACGGCTCGTGACGTCGTAGGTAAAAAAAAATAGGCCATTCCGAAGAGTTGGTGCCACTTTCGAGGAATTTTGAGACAGTTACGGTCATGGTTTGCTGTGAAAATTATTATTTGGCTAAAATCATCGTTATTTTAATGAGACTAAAATTAGATGGAACAGGATCGACATGCAGGAAGCTACAAATCATGGACTGTTTTAGACGCGTCTGATCCATAATAAAAATATAAAAGATGGTCTATCAAAAACAGGTTTTGCGAAGAAATGCGTTCGCTTGCTCTGTCAAAAATGTTTCCCAACCATTCTAGTTTTTAATTTCACAGGCGCTCAAACTAACAGGTTTCTAGTTGCTATTCTGGTTCACTTTACAAAAAAATGTGACTCTTAAGCGAAAAAGTATTATTTATGCAAATTAGTATGAGCATTTGATAGTTTAAAATAGCAAAGTGCATCTATAAATGTATTAGGATCCCGTTCTATTAATGAAAAAAACATGTATATACAATTTTGTATTTGATAAGAATTTACGTTAAATAAAAAAATAATATAACTATTATTTATTTTTTTTATATTTAATCTAATTGTTTCAAGTTTATAAATTAAATAATAAAATTTATAATTTCTGATTCCTGAAAGAATAATTGTTCTGGCTCTTAATTAATAAAATGGTCTGTCTTAACTCCCCCTAACAACGTGTCTGTATAGCTTTAATATAATTCAAAATAATGCAAATTCTAAATTCTTAAAAAGGGAACAACGCCTTAAATTTGACTGCATGATAATTTAAAAACAAAATTAAATTTGAAAATCTTAAAGAATTTGTTGATAATCATGGAAAATAAAATAACCAAATTTAATTAAAGGAAAAATAAACTTGTTGATTTAAGTAACAGTTTCAAATAAAAATACCAATCAATGGTTTTCAGAGTTGAGTGATGTTATAAAAAAAATAATTGAACACAAATTTGGCCAAGTCTCAATCCGCTAACGTAACTGTCCTGTCATAAAACGAGGTAGCCAGTAGTTAAAAATATCATGCCTCTTTGCTCTCTTTATCAATCAATTCGTCTTCAGTACCCGATGCGGTAATCCAATGCTTCGGTTGATATTAAAATCGTTTATTGGCTTTTATTGCACAACCAAAACTTCCGGCCGCACATGATGCGTTCCACAAAATCATCGAACGTGTCTCGACCACATGAAAGAGATCCGCTTCTTATAATTTTCGGAGGAGCACGCACTTCTTCTTTAATGGCCCGGCCCCAGATTCGGGGAGGCGACACCCAACCAGAGCTAGGACGAACGGGCCTTAATTTCTTCGATCTACCGGTCTGACTGCTTCTCTTATTCTGCCGGGCCAATTTTTTCCTTCCAAAGCGAGCGAATTTCGGCCTGCCCCCGCGGAGGCCGTCTATATAAAAGCCCGGGTGCGCCGTTTCCGATGCAACAAAACGCAATGAGACTGAGCACGTGCGCCGTCGTGGTGCTGCTGGCCGCTTTGGCCGCCGCCAAACCCCAGAACGATGTGGCCGAGACCTTCGAACTCGAGGTCCTGGAAAAACTCAACACTGCCTGTGCCCAGCAGAAGGAAACCAGCGCTTGCATCAAGCTCAAGGTTGGTGTCATTTTCCAATAATCATTTTTTTAGAAAAAAGATTAATATGATTTCTTAAAGTTACTAATTTGATTTACGTTTATCTTCACATTTAATTCAAGTAGCAGATAATCATATATATTACAAAACATTCTCTTCCATTTCATAGCTCCAGGATTTGGTATTTTAACCACAAATTAATCATTCCTTAAAATCAAGATTGGTTATAAACTATAAGTTTAATTTTATTTTTTAAATAATTTGTAGTGATTTGATGTTGTTTTGTTATTAATTTTTTATTTCAAAATAGAATTTAAAAAAGATAAAAAAAATAAATAAATGGTTGCATGTGTAAAATAATTATAAAATAAAAAATTAACAAATTATCAAATAAATATTAACATTTTTGTTTTCAATTCTTTAGGTCATTGCTTACATGAACAAGTTGATGAAGAAAGCCTCCATTGAGGTGACCGAGGATGTTGTCCTGACTCGCAACCCTGAGGCCGTTCCCGAAATCTATGAGCTTTCCAGCCCCCGTGACATCGGATCTGAAGACGCCCTGGCCCTTATGGCCACCAAGGTCCGCAACTTTGTCAAGTCTCGCGAGCTCCACTGGGCCATCGCCCCCGAAACCGACGTTGTTGTTTCCACCGACAAGAATGCCGAACACATCAATGTCCGTCTTGCCGACACTGGCCGTTCTGCCGAAACTGGTGAGTTTTAAAACAAAGCTATTAATATTCAATTTTAGATTTGAACTCTTTTAAGAAATTTTCACTGTATATGTAATTTAATGCTTTCGTAAAAGATTTAAAACCAATTTATCTGTTTTCATGTAATAATTAAAATAAGTCTTTGATTTTTTTTTTGCATTTTCTTAAATTCAAATTGGTTGAAAAAAAAAATAATTTTTAACAATAAATCTTTATTCAATTGTCAGTGTGTGTTTTTTTAAATTTTTATCTTTAATTAAGTACTCACTTAATTGGGCAATTATTAATTTATTTCAATCTTTTTTTTAGCTCGTCTGCACAAATTCAAGACTCTGTACGCGTTGGGCGCCGCCGCCATCACCAAGATTTCCATCTTCGCCGTGCTCAAGTTCATCGCCCTGGCCATCCTGGTCTTCAAGGCCGTGGTCATTTCCAAGCTGGCCCTGGCCGCCGCCGTCTTGCTCGGCATCCGCCACCTGACCCAGCCCCACGCCGTGACCTACGAGGTCGTGTCGCACCCCCACGTGCTCGACCACGACAGCTACTCGGCCGGAAGCAGCAGCTACGGCGCCGCCGCCGCCGCCACCTCCACCGGCTACGCACGTGCCGACCACGTTTCGCCCTACCGTGCCCACGCACCTGCCCGCAAACCTTAATTTATTTCCCAGAATCTAATTTATTTCGCCTTAGTTTGTAATTAAGTTATTTTTCAAAGCGAAAAATCAAAACGAGTATAATTTATTTTTAAAAATCGAAAACAAAAATGACTCTCCGCCATTCTTTGACCGACGCCGACCTGCCAAGACTGGACATTTTGTCGCTCTTCCTTTCGCACTGCCTCTTGCTGCTCTGCATCTCCCACCTGCTGACCATGACTGCTCTCTGGACGCCCGACTTCCCATTCTTCCTTCTGCTCGACCGACGCCGCGACTAACGCTTTCTTAACAGACCCGAACTATTTCTGTGTGTTTACTTCTTTTTTTATTCTTACTGCTCTGACGACTCCTGTTAATTGCTTTGTTTTCACTCTGATTTACCTTCACAGTTTTCTTATCTGAGACGATAATCAAAATGCCGTTTACAAGAGGAAACTCCAGACTTTACCGCAAATAATATCAAAAAACGTCATATATTTCTGTACAAGTACAAACACAGCCGCTCCACGTTTTACGAATAAGAAAGAAAAAATGAATAAATTTCCTTCGCTGTAAGATAAGAAACGCTTTTTTAATTCCTGCTTCATACCCAATTAACACAATCAAGATAACTTTAATCAGTCATTGACTTATTCTAATTAAAATTTTAATTTGTGCAGTCAGTCTTTATTTTGTGTGAATTTGCAAAGGTTAAAATTTTTCAAAATTACTGTTAAAATTAAATAACTTCATTTTTTAACCAGAATTATGCTTCAATTATATTAGTTTAACAGTTAATCTTCTTAAAAAAATCTAGTTTACAATAATATCGTTTTTTATAGTTTCAATTTGGAAAATAAATTTAGAAGATGATTAAATATGCTGCAAATTTTAACAGTGGCAATAAGGCTGATCAAGTGATCACTTATTAAGTAAGCAATAATTGAATGGGAATAACATGACGTTATATAAATCAAGGTAGTTGGTGATTTGTGAGCGCTAATGAAACTCTCTCATCTCTTATTTCTTCGGTCATTGAAGTCTCCCGTGAAGAATTTTATTTGCGTGCTCCGCAGCTTCATTTATCGCATATTTTTCGGACATAAAAAAGCAATTTCGCCAGCGGCCGCCCTCGAGTAATGGTAACAGTTTATCAAAAAAATCAGTTATGTTACACACCAGGCGTCTCGCAGAGTTACGCAAACAGGTGTGCCCGCCGGCTACTGCTCTTCTCTAAGGTCGTTTCCTAATTCGCGTCCAGTTATGTGCGCGAAAAATTATATTGTTCGCTTTAATCTGGAACACCGCCTTGCGCGTTTATTTTTTATGTAAAACTAGGGAAATATAATGCAAAAACAAGTTTATAACTTGAGTGTTTGGCGAACAAGAACAAGCGGCTTAACCCCGTTCATGGGTAGCTGCAGCCGAGAGAAAGTTCAAGTTCAAGAGCGACGACTGCAAAAAGCAGATTAATGATCGTGTGAAACTGATGCTCACTGTGTTAACAGACTGATTAGAAAATAATAGAAAGAGCGGCAGAGCTAATCAGTGTAAGCTTTTTGGTTGAATGATGGAGTTAAAAATTCACAAATAATTTTTCAAATGATTATGTTTCAAAGGAGAAACAATAACGTAAAACAGAAATTTAAAATCTTAAAAAGTAACAAACAAAAAAATTAGTAAAAAAAAGTGGAACTAATCCATGCAGGGTTTTTTATGAAATATATAATTTTATAATAGTTTTAACTATTTATCAAGGAATTTGATAACAATGAAACTGCTCTTTAATTATGACAGGGAACCTAATCGTAACTTTTATTATAATAAAAATTAATTTTGCCGTATTTTGGTTTACAAACTTATTCTTTTCAGCATGTAAAGTTTTAAAGCTGTTATTCCAGAAAGAAGATCCTTGAAATATAGTATTGAGAATGAAAATTAACAATAGGGTAATGGTTTAAAAAACGGTATTAAATTGAGGTAAAAATTTTATTTCTTTACCATCCATTCAAGATATTTACATAAATATCTCTCGGAAAATACAATTATTTTTTATTTCATAAATAACAGGCTTCGAATTAATAATTTTCTTGTGTTTTTCAATAAAATTGAAATTGTTTTAAGCAACAATAATATGATAATTAAATATTTATAATTAGATCCTATTTTATAACCAATGAAAATATTAAAAATAGGATTAAACGCCTATTTTTATTCTTTGCTTTTAGACTATTTTAACCGTTTGTTTTCCCCCATTTCTATATAATAACTGCAATTTTTATTGCATGTCCAAGTTTTCAAAAACAATTCCCACGGAACTAGCCACGAGGCACAATAGTCAAATTTGCGGAAACAAAGCCCAAAAGTGCCATTTCGGTCAGATGTGTTTCACTGTGTCACCTAATTCCACGCTCGTCCCCGGTTCTAATTGCATGGAGAATCGATGAATGCAAAGCGGAGGTCCGAAAAAAGTCTAGATACACACACACTTCGCCGAAAAGTGAGGAAGAAAAGTGAACAAAGCGTCAGCGACGCGCGGTCTCTGCTCCTAATTCCCTTTGTCTCCGGCCGAGTTGAATTCATCCTCGCTCCATTTCCCGCAGAGCGACTGACGAATTTTGTGCATTTCGGTACTGCTGCTTTTTGTGTTGTCCCCTGCAAAGTGATTGTCCGGCCCACCGGCGTATAAAACGCCTCCGCCACAGGCCGAAAGCATCAGTATCCGAAATGCATTCGTCCTCCACTTGCATCGTCCTCGTCCTCCTGGCCGTCGGCGCCGCCTGCCTGCCCGCCGAGTGTCCGCCCGGCGCCGACTCGGTCGGTTGTGTCGCCCGAAACGTCGTCGCCCAACTGTCAAACGACGCCGACGAAGCCGTTCCGGCCATCCGAAGGCTCTGGGACGGCGTCGAGCTGGTCAAAATCGAGGGCCAGAAGTTGGAGGAGCCTCTCGAGGGCGCCGAAAACGCCCGGGATTTGTCCTCGTCGCTGCTGAACAGTGTTAGGAAGTTCGCCTCAGGGTACGAGGTGCGACTCAGACTTCATGACTTCGTCGATGGAGCCATCAAGGACATTTCTGAGGGTCAGTTCAAAGGGTTTGCGCCCATTTATTATTTTTATTATTTCAAAACACAATTTATTTTTTAAAGTAAATTCAAATATTTACGTGATGACTCAACACGCTTTATAATTATCACTTAATACTTTATTTCAAAATTTATGAAAAATAAACTTATTATCAGAAATTCAATTAAAGAAATTGAAATAATTGCAAACTTATTCAACCGCAGTAATTTAAAAATAGCTGAGGGAGCTTATTAATGAAAGTTTCAGACTTTAAAACCTACAAATTCACTTAAATTAATCAAATATTTTACAAAATTTATCAAATATATAATTTGGTTTTTAAGTTTGATTTTAAACTCTGCGTGAAAAAGTAAAAATAATTTTTTTTTTCAGCTCGTAAGGGCGGTGGTTTCGGAGGCGGCAAGAAGAAGGACGGTGGTGCCATGATGATCGCCATGATGATGGCCGGTATGATGAAGGCCATGGCTCTCGGCGCCCTGGGACTTTTGGCCATGAAGGCCCTCACCGTCAGCTCCCTCGCCTTCCTGCTTTCCGCCATCGTCGGCCTCAAGAAGCTCCTGAGCAAGGGTGATGATGGTGGACACGAAGTGGTGCAGGTCCACGGCCACGGCGGCCACCACGACTACCACCGCCGAGCGATCGACCTCGCGTCCCACGAATTGGCCTACAGTGCGCAGAAGACGGCGTGAAGCCCTTTTTAACCTTTTGACCGAAAAGGACGCAGACTGGTGACTTTCCGAGCCATAATCATCATCAATCTTCCTTTCAAACTTTTTCACTTCAATCCAATTTTCAAGCGTTCTTCCTTTTTCCAAAACTGACTGACAGGACTGTGTGACGATAATTTACGACGATGACGATCAAGTAAGTTCCTCTCGACGACGGACAAAGAGACATTACCGTTTTCGCGCCTCTCGTGACTGACGACGCGCTGCTTTTACTTTTGTTGCTCACGATGTGAATCAGACGAGATGTGACGTTAATTTATTGTATTTATTATATAATAAATTATTGATTTTTTTATGTGAAGCATCAGTTTTTTTATTATAGGTACTTTATACACATCATATATCAATGAAGTACAATACATATTACGAGGGGTTCTTTAAATTTTTCTTGATTTTAGTTGAAAATTGTTTTTATTGATCTATCACAACGGAAATTGCTGCCCATAACGGGATATATCATTAATAAATTCAATATAATTGAGGGAAAAGTTGAGAATTTTACAAATTTACAAATTTACAAACAAATTTAACAATCACAAAATACAAACAATAGAAAAATTTTATACTATAAATCTTACTGAAATATTATTTTGCATGGGGGAAAACGGAAATTCTCTTTTGCAAATATTTGAAAATATAATAAATTGAAAATATTTTTAAAATGTTTAAAATATAAAAATTATATAAGTTAATTAAAGTATAATTTTCTTTTATAAATGGCTATTAAATTATATCATTTAATCAAATAAATTCTTATGCCAAAAAAAATATAAAAATCAATCATCAAAATTTCCACCAATTCAGCCCGTACTTAATAGTGAATGACTAATATGCTAGTTCAACACTTCCAATTGCTTCCAATATGAATAATTCAAAGTTGAGTTCATAGTTAACTTAAATTCTCAAATAATAACTATCGCTTCTTGAGAAACAAAATGGGACAATTTAATTTCAATAAACCCTTCATTATTTTATCTAGGAACATAATTTCCCCCGATAATGCTTTTATGCTTTGATTATAATATTTCAATTTTATATTTATTCGCTAAGCTCATTAATTATTTAATTTATTAGTTATCACTGCCTATATAAAGTGTGAATTAATGTCTCTCGCGTCTCCAATCACTTAGATAGACCGATCAAACCTTATTGAAAAAAACTTGTTTACTTTAAATTAGATTAATTAGCAATTTAATTAATGCGTCCGCTGTCACGCAGCGTTACCGCACCCATCACCATCTTGTTGACAAAGCACGCGAACGGTCGGCGAAAGAGGAATATATAATTGGCGGCAACAATCCCATTTCGGAATGAAATACGACCGCGGTTTCCTACAAAGCAGAAAAACGCACTGAAAAGAGAGTGCAAATAAATATACACGTGTAATAACAGCGGCACGCATTGCCATTTATCTGGATCGCGACCCCTTTATACACCGGCGAGTGCAAAATGCAGCAGAAAACTGGTCCGGCCAGTTTGCTAAACGTGGAAAAGCGGCTCGTCCATCCGCGTTGGGGTAGTCCTGACTAGTTTCGCCAGCCACCTAGCCTAGGAGAAGGGTCGATCATTTAAAAGCCAACACTATGCTGGACAGATCATTATTTTCCAAGCAACTGCAGCCATGATCTGGTCACTCGTGGTAGTGCTGCTGGCAGCCTCCGCCGCCAACGCCGACGTCCAGGCTTGTCTCGAAGCCAAGTCGCCGGTCGCTTGTCTTCAGTCGGAGGCTTACAGGTAGGACACAAATAATTTCATTTAAATTCCATAGTAATCTTAATTCGGTTAAAAGCATAAAATTGAAGTTCATATGTGGGATGATACGAGTCATTAGATTTATTTGGTTTTTATTGTGAGCTGATAAAAATTCTTTAAAATTAACTGTATTTTAATTCCATTAGAAAGTTTGATGCAGAATGGAAAATTATAAAAAAAAATCTGAACCCTCGATTTTCAATTAAATTAAAGTTTAATACTTCAGCATTAATAAATTTTTTTTCTCAATATTACGTTACATTTTTGCGTCATAGGAATTTTCAAAAAAAAAATGTGGTTCACAATTCTAAATGAAAATAAAATTAAAGTTCTCAGTTTCCATATATACCATGTTGAAAATTAACAGTATTTAATTATTTAAATAGTAAGAATTTTTAACTTTCCTCTTTTGAACACTTCATAAAAATTGCAAATCAATTTTATTCTATATTTTCAAATTAATTTATTTAAATTCTTCCATGCTGCATTTTTGTTTTACTATTCATATCAAGACTTTTCTAACAAATTTATTTATCTCTTTAGGCACGTCCGAGACCTAGTGGCTCAGGAGACCATCGTTCTCAGCCAGGGGGTGGAACTTGTGAAGCCGAAATCGGCCGTAGGAGCTCGCAAGGCCGAAGACGTCGCCGCCGAGGCCGTTCTCAGCGCCGAAAAGGGAGACTTGGAGCAGCGTCAGGAGGTCCTTCAGCAGTATGTGGCCGACAAAGTGCAGGAGGCAGCTTCTGAGAGACGACTTTCCATGCAGGTGGACACCGTCGCTTCCAGACTGTACGAAACCGTTCGCGCCGTCACCAATGGCGAAGGTAAAATTTAATTATTTTAAAGGCACTATCCAGTAATATTTCTATTATTCATTCAAAAGAAAACATAATTTAACAACAATATAGAAATTTCATTCAAAAATTTAAATAAAAATTTACAAAATTAAGAATAAGTCAAATAAATTCTTCTAGACAATTGAGAACAACTTAAGTTCGAATGCTTTTGCAGGAATATATTAACTTTCAATTAACCTCCCCTGCATCTTAAGAGTGCTAATTTCATTTTTGCAATCTTGAAATTTTTCTTCTTTTGAATTCAGGCTTAAAAATCATTGCTGGAGAAACCCTAAAAATTTCTTAATCAACTTTTTCAGTTTTTTTCTTTTTAAATTCTAAATTAATGAAAACTTGCAGGTCGTGCGATCAAGAAGATCATTAAGAGCCTGTTACCGGTGATTGTTGGTTTCATCTTGAAGGTGGCCACCCTGGTGGTGATTTCGTACATCGGCATGGGACTGCTGGCAAAGAAGGCAGCCATCGGCTCGCTCATCGCCATTGCCATCTCAGTTGTCACTTTTGTGCGCAGTCTAATTGTAAGTAAACATGCCAAGCACCATGAACAGGCTCAACTTCTGGGTGCCCTAGCTGGACAGGTCTCCGCGTAAGTCGCAAATACACACTTATCCCGCCTTGCCCGCAGTCTGAAAATTTTTCTCAAAATTATTTTTATTGAAATTTCGCCGACTGCGGGCAGGGCTGCATTCACTCTTTCTCTCTTGTCTCTTCTCTTTTCTCAAAACCTCCCACTCCGTTCTCCACTCATGACTCTTCGATTTCAGGTACCATAATATCGCGGCCACCCATGACATCGCCAACAGCATTGCCGCCCAGCAGGCTGCCGCCGCTGTCCACGCTCTCCCCTATGGTGGCTGGAAGCACTGAACCCAGAAAAACCACCCTTGTGACGAGGTTACCAACTGAACGACGCCAGTCCATTCCAAAATAGTCACCAGTGTCTTCAACCATCTTCCCCCAAATAATTTATTAATAAATGACTTATTTATTTATTTAAATGAAAGAAATCTAAAAAAAATCGACAATTTTATTTTAAAAATAAGAAAAAAAACCTTTGAAAATAATTAGAATTTCAAACCAAAAAAAGCAAAATTAAGAAGAAAGTTGAATGGGACAATAAATATAAAACTGAGGATAGGCAACCGACACGTCTGAGCTGTCCGGCAAGTTGCATACCTAGTCAGAGTAAATTTCTCACAGCCTCGTCAGCAGAATTAATTCGAATCAATGTCATGCAACGGCCGAAGCAGGTGGGTATGGGATTGAGTGACGCAGCAAATACGAATGCAACATAATGAGAGAACAAATCCATACATGCACGCTGTACGGTTTGCGATTAATTAATTACAAGCGGTGAATACCCACTCGTGCCCGCGTCCCGTCGCGTTTTTCACACATTAGCCGCATTGCGATGAAAAGGAAATATAAAGATGAGAAAGACCACGTGAGAATATTGGAAGCTTCACTAACCTAATTCATTCCCATTTTTGGAGGAAAAAATTCAACAGAATAATTATGGAATTTGCATATTCAAATCAGGACTGCTTTACAACAATGGTGGTTAAAATTTCCAAATTTTTTACAATAATTGCCATAAATGGCTCGTTTTGTTGTAAATATTTGACTTGATTTGAATATGTCTCTCTGAGCGTAAATAAACATGATTAGTTTTGCAAATTTTTATCCATGAACTATTTTCTTATTGACTCGCAGTCGTGAATAATCATCTAATGAACATGAATCAAGAAATTACAAAAAAAAAAACATTTTCAAATCAACCAAAACTAATTTAATTAAACAATAAAATTTTTTTGTTCCATTGAATTTAACCAAGAGCGAAAATTAATTATTATTTCTTTATTTCCTTTCTTGTGAAGAATTTGTGATAAAAAAGAAGCTGCACTAATTTCTTTTAAGATTTAAAATTTAAAATTTTGACAGTAGCAATTTTATGAATGTTTAATAAGCATCAAGATAGCTGAGCAATTAAGGAAGCTGCTAATTACGCTAAAATTTAAAACACATAACGCACTATTTGCTTGCACGGTCACGCAATCTGTTTGACTGGTGGCCAAACAAGCTTGTAGACACAGGCGTGCGAAAAGCAAGCCATTAACTTCGCGCGCAATTTAATTCAACACACCTCACGGCATCAGACACTTTTGATTCCATTGTGCTCGCCGTTTCCGGTTGAATTTTATGTGGATTCTTTCTTTGATAATACGGACGTGGGGCCGCAAGACGATTACCATTTTAATGGCAAGAAACAGTTTTGCATAAATAAATATAATTATTCCTTTGTTCTTGAAGGGATTCTTTTTGATCCAATTAAAGGCGCAGATGCAGCGGATTTTTTATTATTAAATATTGATTTCTTTTCAAACCAACATACGGAGCAAGTACAAATATAAGAATCTATTTTTAAAATTTTAATATTATTTCATGGTTTGTATTTTGTTGCTGCTGCTTTTATTATTTAAATTTTAAGTTCTCTGTTGTAAATGCAAGTTTAATTTTTTTAATTTAATTGAATTTTTAATCATTTTGCCTAAACATGCTCATTAATTTGAAAATTTCATACGCTCTCTAAAATGCTAAGTTTGAAATACCTTAATATGGAATTTCTCCTTAGTAATTAATTTTTCGCGTTAAATTAATTAAAATAAAAAACTGAATATTTATTATTAATTGACCTTATAATTTAAAAAATTCGTCAATTAGCAGGCTGTAAAACCAAGTAAGTACTGTAGAAATTTGAATGCCACAGAAGCTCAAACAAAACCATAAATAAACATGATAATAAGAAGTGATGGGTTAAATTGGTTAAATTAATATTGACATAAATAAATTATTACGAGAAGTTTAAAACATTTATTTGATTTCCAGAAAACAATTTGAATTGGAAACTAAACCGTATATAAAATTCTTTTATTGAAATATAAAAAATAATAATGTGAAATGAAGAGGAAAGTTTACATACATTTTGATTAAGTTAAAAAGTCTGAAAACCTTATAGTTCCAAATTTCAACAAGCTAATACTATTTAGAGCAATAATTAAATTTCACTTAAAATTTACTGAATCAATTATAACTAATGTGAGCCGATGATAAAGTATAACTTTATTTTTTTAAACTTCCAAAGTGAATGAGAACGACGCGCTGTGTAGAGAGCGAGCGAACGCGCATTTGATAAAAGGTGTGTGCGCCGTGCACCGTTTGCCACTGCGTCTGCGATTTGCTCACGATCAGCGCAAATTGCTACCAGGCGCTCAGCAATTTCCAAGAGGTGGCGTGCAGGCCTACGCGGGTCTCTCGAGATTCGTCCTAATCGCTTTGCGACTCGCGTACTCAATGTTTCCGGCACATTTTCGCCATCAATTAGTTACGCACGGCGATTTTGCTCAGAGCTTTACTGAGAACGACCTAACTCAACATTTTATTCCGGCAAATCAAGAAGTGTATTATTATATAAAAAAAAAATATTCTTTTGCAATATATTTAAAAATAATGCATGTGAAAATGTAGCATCTGATTTTTAATAAATAATTAATTAACATGAAAAGTAAAGAATAGAAAAGAATATTTTATAAAATTATTATTTTGTGGCTTTTGAACAAAATTAATTATATTGCAAGTTTGCGGCATACATGAAAAGGCAATAATCGCAAAAAAAACCTAATTGGTATTTTATTTTTTAGCTTTAAACAATAAAATTATGCTTAAAGTCATGCTCTAAACTGATTGTGAGTCCTCATTCCAGAGTTTTTTTCCCACCCACGATTCGCGGGCACGCAAAACACGCAGGCAGCCGTTGTAAGGACACATTTTTGGCACCGACTCGGCTCCCATTTATTTGCTCATTCGAGACATGCACTTTGTCGTGTTCGAGGCACGACCGAGGCGAAATTGTATTATTATTATCAGGACTTGCAAAAAGTCGGCAGCATTGAGGACGAAAGAAGCAGCAGGAGGAATTGGGTCGAAAGTCGAAATTCATTGCCAAGTTCACGAGTGGCAAGAATTGGGTTTGGAAACTCTAGTGCCTCAATTCTATGAATTATGTGAATAGCAGAAATACAAATTAATAATTAATTTTGAATTTAAAATTGACCGATCGATAAATTTTCGAAACCATTAATATCATAAAATTAATTCATTTTTAATATTTACTTCAATTTTTTATAATGAAATTTAGAAGAAAAAAAATCCAATTTGGTGTAATTTATTTAGTCCTGTAGTATAATTGTTTTGATCAAAGTCATCGTACAGTAAATTAATGAGAAAAAAAATTGTGTATGAAATATTGTAGCTTTAGAGGGTCGAAAAACAATTTTTTGTCCTTCAACAAGCCTGTATTTTGATTTGATATTATTAAAATGAACGTTTTTAAAGTAATTGAAATGCATTTTAGTAATTTTTAACCAATTTTTCATTCTTAAAATGAAATACATACAGTAATTTAAACCTCAACAGCAAACGCACTGGTTTCGTCTTGTGGCCGAGCATGTAGCAGTTTTTTAATCGCGTAAAAGTGAATCTGACAAGCAGAGCGGCAAACGAAACGGAAACCGGTGTTTTTTTTGTGGTCCACTCAGCCACTCACTGCATCGAAATGATTGCGGCGAAAAAGCTCTTTCGCTTTTCTCCTTCCATCATCATTGGTCATTGGTTCTTTTATTCGCGGAAACTAAAATGCTCCTTTCAAAATTAATAATGCATAGTAAAATTATCTTTTTCTTGAATTCATAGTGTAAATAAATTTCTTTTTTCAGTTGTTTCAAAAAACATATATTATAAAACAAAAAATTAAAATATTTCCGAAAATATGAAATTAAATATAATTTTTTCAATGAATTAAATGATTGAAACTATTTTAATAATTAAATAAACATTTTTAGTTTGTGTGTAATTATATAACTAAAGAATTTTTCCCACTAAATTTTCATGTAATTAACTTTAAGCTTTTAACACCAACAAGCTTGAATTAAAACAGTTATAAGTATAAGATTGAAGTTCTTCTAAAAGAAGGAATTCCGCTAATTCCATTTCGGAAAGAACCCTATTAAGATTTGCCACGATGGGTCGATTGCAATCAGAAGAAGTAACTCACCTGGGTCGATTAACTCGCGAAATGGAGCCCATTATCAAACATGAGTGATTTACTTTCGTATATATTAAACCTATGCGCGAAAAGTCATTCGGTTCAGATCGCGGTTGCGTCCTCGATTCGGAACTTGAGTTGAATTTAATATTGTGTATGAAACGCAGCTGCAGATCGCATTAACACAATGTAACACAACAACACCCCGAAAGGCAGCACGCGTGAGAAATGCAATTAAAAAGTTGTCCGTCAGCAGGCACTTGTGAATCTCTACTGATTCGTTTTGGTTTTCCTAATAATAGACAGCCATGAATGAATAGATGGAAATATATAGAAGTAATCAGAAGTAATTTAAAATACATAAGGCATTATTGAATGCGACTTAAAGAAAGTATTTTGAAAATCTCGTTTCATTAACAATCACGGTAGTCAAACAAAAAAATATAATCATAATTTAAAAGTTCAATTATAAAATATACAATTTTACCAAATACCAGTAAAATATGAAAACCTATTATACAAAAATTAAATAAAAAAAAATTTATTAATATAAGTAAAGAAATAAGATTTAGAAATAAAATTATTACTAAATTATTTTGAAACATGCAACACTCAGAATTTCATTTACTGAAACTATTAAACGCAGTAGATTTTATTTTTTATTTTTGAAAAATTAAACTCTTTTATAATGCTCCTTGTGACACCTTCCTCTTTTTTTTCATTTAAATTTGTTAATTATTAGCATCAAATTTTTAATGGTTTGATTCAGCAGAATAAGATCAAAATCGAGGCGAAATTTCAAGACCAGGGTTCCCTATGAACACTCTCAAGATTGCCCCTTTCTCGTCGATTGAGTCGATCGGAAGAACTCGTCACTTGATCGGAGTGCGGCAATTATGGAAATTATTATAATAAAACGTGTCAAAGAAGAGCACTCGCTGCGCACTGCACAAACAACGGTATAAAATATCTGTTAGGAAAATGAGGCTCTTGTCCGTTTTACCCGGTTCGCTCTCTCGCGGAATGCAATCCCCCCGTATCACTCTGAACATGGATAAATATTTATGTGAATTAACGCACTCGCGGTCATTGGGTCGGTGGATGGCACACCTTTGCCTTACGCGCCTTTTACGCGCGGCTTTCCAGTTTCCAATTGCAGAGCTAGCGCTAGATCTCGAGAAAGAGGGAAAAGCAGTCGATAGATCGCCGCGTAGAGATGCACAACTATAATCGCAAAAGGCTGGAAGCTGCACTGATGACCACGCTGCCTTTATTATTTACTGCGCGCCATCTTAATTAATCAAAATAGCTGTAATCTGCGCTAAACGGTCCTGATGGCCGCTAGTTCTCTTAAACAAATTATTATATGCGCTAAGAAAAGAAGAACACCAATCTATTAAAAATTTATTTTCAAAAAATTTAAAATGACATTGAGCTAAAATGTCTTTTTATTAGATCATTGTTTACTTTTTTATTAATTACTTTTTTTGTAAAATATTAATTCTTCAGTTTCATGTCTTCTTAAAAGTTTTAATTTAAATGAAAAGAGCTAGTAACCAGCAAAAATAATGATAATAAAGTTAAATAATTAATGAAATCAATATAAATGATGTTGAAAACAGTAACAGTTTAAGATATTTTCTAAAATTATTTTTTATTTTAATGATATCACAGGCTTTTTTTAATAATTTTTTACATTTTTTTGCAGAAATTTTAAAAAATTAATATCATTAGTATAAAATGTAAAAGCAATTTAAAACAAAATTATAATATTTCCTTTCAGGACTTGTTCTTGGTATTTTTTTGTTATTACCAAGGAAAGAATTAAAATATTAATTAAATAATTACTAAATTAAGCCCTTTGTTGTGGATATTTTCAGTAAGTCTTCCCTCCACTCATTCTCAGTCAGTCGTCGATCCAGTTTTTTAGCAGTCGATTTTTGTGCATGCAGTGACCCAGAAAGCTCATGACTCGACCGACGTACGGGCGGGCGAGAGAATGTAGTAATAATAATAACGCTTTAACTCTCTCGGCACCCACTCGCGCACAATGAGCGACGGTGCGCGCGCGAGTAAATAATAAACGAGCCAGCAAGCTCGACCCACAGACCGAGCGACCGAGACCTCGGGGAAATTTATCTCAAGTGCAAGATCACGGCTGCAGCAGCGAGCGGGAATAGGCGTGAACGCCGTGCGCATTCCGGACCACATTTTCATAATTAACTTGACCTGTCCAATAAAGTTTGGTTTAAAGAGCAGTGCCGACAACTTCTAGTTAGCGAATATTTTCTACCCACACTTTGAAAATGACGGGAATTTCGAACAGAATATAATTAAAGTTTATTACAAAATTATATATTGAAGAAGATTATGTAATAAGGAGGAATTTAAATTAGAGTATTAATTTTTGAAATTCTTAAAAAATAAAATGAAATTTTAAAATATAAATTTTAAATTTCCAAAAATTACGTGTTTCATTTTTTTTTATATTTAATTTCTTCAATCTGTGATGAATGCATCTATTCTCAATTTATTTATAACATTTTTTCATGAGCCCATATTGTTTAATGGGTTCAAACAGAGATATAGATTTAATATTTATTCCACATTCAAGCTGATTCAAGCTATAAAATTAATAAATTTTATTTTTTAAATCAAATTATTACCTTAATGTAATTAAAAAAAAATTGCAAATTTAATATCTAACAAATTCTTTTAACAATATTAAGATTAATTAAGTTTTATGTGTTGTTCTTCGGACGCACTGCATCTTATACTTGTTATTATAACGGGGCGAAAAAATTGGACAAGTTGACCCATCAGTCCTCGTTACTCTCGGTCCGACGCGCTGTTCTCCTGCACCGGCTTGTTGTTATTATTATGATTAAATTATATTTTATGCTGCACGGTGCGAGAGCGATTGAAGAGCTAGTTGTTGGTGAAATGAATTCAGGTCAAGTGCTGGACGTCGGCGGCTGCGGTACGAGAGCGGGTAATTTCACTGCACGCGTTAGCGTATTAGAATAATTGATCTGTAATTGCTCCGCTATAGGAAATGCAGCTCGGTGCAAATGTGGAGCAGATACATCCCAGCTGATTTTTCAACCCGCACACAAGTGTAGAGAATCTAATCACATTCCTCAGCAGTGAAAATTTCCCGAAACAGGAAGAAACTGGAATTAAATATTTATTAATGTAAATAAATGTTAAAGCTTTTTAATCATGCAAGAAAAACACTTGCAATGATCAAAAAGTAGAATTATAAATTATAACAGAGTGCTTTGATTAAAAAAGGAATTTAAATAATTTGTATTTAAGACTTAAAATTTGAAAAGTCTCAACTTTTTCATTCAAAAATAATTTGTTTTTGAATCAACATTGAATAAAAATTTTAATTCATCTAAACAACTGTTTAATTTTTGATGATTTGAAAGTTTCTTTTGAATTCAATCCGGGTGACTTTCCAAGAATTTCACTTTGAATTAAATGCACGATTGTAGAATTAGGTTTTTTTATTTCTTTCTTTCGGGGATGCTGGAAGAGGAAGACAAGATACCTGTCAGGATGCGCAATCGAAATTGCTAAGGCTGCATATCCGTGTGGAATCGAGGTTGGGAAAGCGGCCAGGCAAGCGCAAAAAGTGGATGCACAAAAGTGCATCTCTCGGCTTCACGAGAGCAGAATTTCAAGAGACGAAAAACCGGATTTCGTGTTCGTAGTCTGCCGCATTGCACCTCCGTTGAGGACAACGTAAAAGCTATTCTTTGCTTGACAGACCCACGTCGGTTTCACTTGAGGCGGACAAAGACGAGATAACACGGCTCGTTGGGCCAGTTTAGGATTCCATTCAACGAGAGAAACTTGAATAGGCAGATCGTTGTTAAATAACTTGATTTTTTGCCCAAAAATAAACTCTTAAGAAGTAAAAAACGATGAAATAAAATACAAACCATATTAAATTTTCTTTAAAGGTGCTTAATGAATTTTAACTTATAAATCAACAATTATAGGTTTTCAAATAGTCAATTTGCAATTAATAAGGTTGTATGAAAACTGTTTAAAAATTTTAGTTCTAAAATTTGATGAATGAAAGCTGATTAATATAGAAAATTTAAAAAAAAAATGCTGCTATTATCAATTTCTATTTAAATAATGTGTAATATTATAAATTTATTTCAAAGGCTGCGTATAGTAAGTAATTCTAATGATAGTTTTGGAAGCTAAACTGACTGTGAGTTAGATGAAAAGATTCTTTGAATTGGAAAGGAAATTCTGTCACCAGACCAGGATGCTTTTGTGTCAAAAGAGGGTGCAAAGAAAATGCAGTCAAGAGTCTCTTAAGTTGGGCAAATCGGGGTCAATTTGCACCTCGGGCTGGGTGAATAAAACCGAAAACACCTTTTGTGCCGGTCGGTCCTCACTCACACGGAAGGAAAACACAGGTGCCTCGAGAGATGCTTGCATGACAAAGGGAGAAAAAGGTGCCGCCAAAGCCAAAAGAAGAATACAAAAATGCAGTACCTCCCATATAAGTGTAATTTGTGTTTGGTCATTGTGTGTGCGTCTTTCTCTCTCTCGCTCGCTCAATCTCGTTCGCTGCTTGCATGCCTGTTTCTTAGTGGGGCGCTCCTTGGATAGCGGAGAGGGACCTGCCAGGTATATAAACCTGCACCGGCTTGCTGCAACAACGCACTCACCACCAGCACCAACAATCAGTCAGGGACAGCCGGCAGAGCAGCAGCAGCCACAATAATGAAATTTTTCATCGTCCTTCTAGCCGTCGCAGCCGCCGCATCGGCGCTGCCCACTCAAGAGCAGGAGGCCAACGCTCAGCAGGGTGAGAGTTCAAATCTAATCAATCCAGATTTTCTTAATTAATTAAAATTATTTTGATCGAATTGATTTCAAATTATAATCTGGATTTTTTTAAATTTATTGTATGACGATGGAAAGTTAATTTTAATGAAATTTCAGCCGCCGCCTCTGAGATCCAGCTCGCTGAAGGAATCACCATTGTCCGCAATGAGGAAGCCGAGGTTACCCAGGCCGCCGAGGGAGCACCCCGCGCCTTCGACGACTCGATGATTGGACGTGCTGCCCGTTTCCTGCAGTCCCACTCTCTGCACCTTGACCTGAAGGGTGCTGATGTCGTCGATGCCGTCTCTGCTGTTGGACGTGCCCTCAACGGAGATGATGTTGAGGAAGCCAGGAAGGGCGTTAAGGGTAAAATCAATTAATTAAAATCTCTCAGAATTTTTTTAAATTTTCTATAATTCAAATTACAATTAAGGAATTAATATATTTTGAAAATTAGACTTTTCAATAGAGGCAAACATTGAATTCATAAAAACTCTTTTCTCATGTGATACTTATTGCCATTAAATTTAATTTGTGAGTTGGAAGGAAGTTGTGAATGATGACGGGCAAAAACGATTCTCTTGTGGTTTTCGGCACCTTTTCGGCTCCTTTTTTCTCCCGCATAATTAATTCCGCGGCGCCTGCATTACATTCTGTTTGACAAAGAGATGCGTGTAACGGTCGCCATGTGTGTGCGTGGTGAGTGCACAACGTGCCAGTCACGCCGTCACATGTGCTCTCTCGCGTCTGACGTAACTGTAGACGCACCTTGAACTTGCATAAAAGCGATTTACTATCTTGTAAACTGACCGCCACTTTTCACGCAACTAACCGGCTTGTTAGCACAAGATACAATCGCTTTAATTACTACTTTCAGCGGTTGATATCAAAGTAATTATTTGGCTAAAATTTTATAATTTTCTTGCATCTATCCATTTTTCCTTTTGGCAAATTAATGTTTCTATTCTTTAAAATGCTGATTCAGAAAACTGTCGACAAATTAACATAACGGATCTCAATTAATTCAAGCATTCATTCATTGTTGGCACTCAGGTCAAATTCCTCCGATTTTTTTTTATTCTCATTCGGGCCCACGCGTTCATTTATTACTTTTTTGTATGCGAACAGTGCATCCGCCCAACCCTCTCTGGCATCTCTCACTCATCTAACCGTAAATAATTTGCCTTTCTTGCTTTCCTTGGCACGCGGAACAAGTTGCATCTCTCTCTCGACATGTTACGTTCATTAATATTAATGCCAGAGCCGGCCTATAAAGTAACTAGAATGCGTCATTTATTGCACTGCCGCACAAATGTGGGTCACTCGGGTGCGTCTCTCATTGTTTTTGTACTGCCCGACGGCTGATAGATGACGGCGTGGATTCCGATTATTGTCCGACACGAGTGGTAATTACCTCCAGCTTATCGAGCATAATCATCTCGAGGATGGCAAAGTAGCTGTTAATTTTCGCGGCGGCCCGATAAAACGCAGACTTTAATTAGTTGGAGGCGATTCAGGCAACCCGCATAGACACTATGTCGAGCGGGTTGCATACTTCCGACTTCTCATGAAAATTTTCTTGCATTTATCCCATTCATTTGCACTTCCTGAAAATTATTTAAAAGTATTCTCAACTTATTTTATATAATTAGATTGAATTAACTTTGAATTCGATTAAATAATTAATTTAAATCGATGCAAGTCATATAAATTAATTTTAAATTTGATTAATTCCATTTTATTATTTTTCCCTTTTTAATTTATCATATCATAATATTTGAATTCGACCCAATAACTAATGATTTTCCTTTCTTCCTTCTGCAGTCAAGAAAGCCGGCAAGCTCCTGGGACCCCTCCTGATCGGAATCCTGCTGAAGGCTGCCCTCCTCGCCCCCCTCGTCCTCGGTGCCATTGCCCTGATCGCCGGCAAGGCCCTCATCATCGGCAAGATCGCTCTGCTGCTCTCCGCCGTCATCGGCCTGAAGAAGCTCCTGTCCGGACACCAGAAGGCCGTGACCTACGAGGTCGTGTCCCACCCTCACTCTTACAGCGGCCACGACACCTACTCTGCTGGTTCTAGCAGCGCGGGAACCATCGCTGCCAGCTCGTCTGGATCCTACTCTGGTGGATCTTCCAGCGGCTGGGGACGCAGCGTGGACGCCCACCAGATGGCTTATGGTGCTCAGGCTCCTTAAGGTGCGATTTTTTATAATTTTCAAATTTCTTAATCTTATTCCAATTTTTTTTGTTACAGTTGGCTGCTGCTGAACTAACTTATTAAGATCAACCCTCTATCGCTGCCGCCCTTCACCCCCTTTCAACTCTTTCAATCTTCAGCTATCTTTGTTCGAATTTTTTTTATTCGAAATTTTCGCAAATACGGGTACAACAAATCGTTCGTTCATTTGCCGCTCTCTCTATTCGATCAATCTTTAACTTATTTGTTGTTAATTTATTATTTCGTTCGTAATAATTTATGCATATTATATTTTTATACAAGCAAAACCGTTCCGACTGACGACACTCTGAACCAACCATACGACTGCCACTTTTCTGTTCTGCTCTGTTACCTTCAATTTTTTTTTCATTTTCTTTTCCTCTCTCTATTTCTCTCTTTATCCTTGAAATTTCCAATCTTCCGCGACTGCCAAAGACGTAGTGACTCTAGCTCATTCCTTTTTCTTTCACTTCCCACATAGTGTCCTCTCTAGTCTGAAGTTATTTTCTTTGTTTCTTCCTCAATCTTGTAGAAATTAGCAGCCTCCTGTCTGGAGCCTCAGTCAATCCGACACTTCCCTCTTTTACTTCCCTTACAAATTAATCGTCCCTGTTAATTTGCTCAATTACTCTTCCAAGACTCTTTTCTTATTCTCTGTGAGAAAGACTGACTCTAGAGGTTTCTGTGTTCTTTTTTACAACGACACCGTGACTGTAATGTTAGATTGAGACGCCATGTGACTCGACTTTTACATTAATTATGTTCAAAAGCCAAATTTTTATCAACAGAGATTTGTACCTATTGACTAAATTGAATAAAAAAGCTCAAATATTAAGGAAATAAGCGTATATCATTTTCCCCACTTAATAAAATCATCCTTAACTAACTGCAACTAAAATATTCTCTTAAAAAGTTCAGCGATTTTTCGCAAGAGGGCGCCATGGATTCTCTTTTGGAGAAAAAGAAATGCCGGTAGATTTTTATCTTGAAACTTTATAAATGGCAAGTTCCTCTTGAACATCCCGTTTACTTCATCATATTAGCATAGAGAAATTAATTAATATACGGTTGATCAATATGCAATTGAAATCAGGACAAATTGCAATTGTTCAGATCGATGACTGTGTAAGTAAATCATGGGAAGAAATGCACACGTGACCGCTGTGGCGTTTGATGGTCATTGCCAGCAGCGGAGCGAGTTCAAGGCCTGCGGAGAAAACCGGCGCGGAGACGAATAAAAGCAGCAGCTCTTCTTTCACCGCCTTGATTTCTTTTAAGGTCAGTAGGTTTTCAAAGCGGCAAGATTTTCTTCCTGCTGATACATGATTGCAGATCGAACTATTGGTTTCTTATCTTTAATTTAAATTCACTTAATAAACTCCAACTCTCTGTATTGCTATTTATGATAGATAATTTTAAATTTCTTTCCTACTTTGCTAATTTTGTATTTATAAAATAATTTTAACTTTATTTTTCCAAAAATGACAATTCTACCAATATTACTTTAAATTCTAGAATTTTTTAGTTTGAATATAATGTTTTTTGTTAATAACAATTACAAATTTTAGAATTAAATTGTCAAAATTTGTAAAATTATGAGCCGTAAACACTAATTTATAAGACTCTATTTCTTGACAATTTATTAATCCTTTTATTTTCATTTTGTCATGGCTAACCAGCAACAATTCAAAGAGATTAAATCAAAATTACTGGTCTATGAAGCATATTAAATTCAATTTTGACATGCTAGAAAAATTTGTGGCCACTTATGAGACTTAATAATAGACCAGAGTCGATCACGAATCCCATTATGATAACGCACGCCTCGCTAGCTCCGAAAAATGGGTCATCGCTATAACCAAAAAGCAACAGATGCCGCTCCGAAATAACAATAATCGATCATCTACGCGATGATTACTTTTAATTACCTACTCGTCGCTTTTTATTAGGCGCAAATACGCACTCTGAATTTTCGCGCTGCCATATAATATACAAGCGTAGCCCCAATATTTTCTAACGGAAGCAATGCAAATGCCCAACAGCTATGGACTGGCCTCGAAAATACACATAAAAAAGAAACATAAATAGCGCTGTAAAAAAAAAAAATAGGAGTTTTAGACCATCAGCTGCAGGCTGGCGACAGAAGGTGCTCGCGTCAGGCCGGTGAATTTACAGGAATGATATATATGCAGAAATAAGAGATGAGATTGCGAATGAATGGATGGGAAAACACATCAAGATAATCCAAGGAAAAATAAATAAATGTGATGCTTGGAGAATTATTCTAAGAAATGGCAAATTATTTAATTTAACTTTTTCCTTGTGAATACAAATGATGAAAAAATATACATTTTTAAAACGTGATTCTTCTTTATTTAATAATATTGGTAGAGCAAAATGAGCGTGATTAGCTCTTGTTTGATTGGACTAATCACGAAACTTGTTCATCTTTTGCTCAATTGAAGCCAAACGAGTTTTAGAGGAAGCGAATTTCTTCATCGGCGCGTAATTAAACACTCTTGGAGAGAGGAAAAAGACAAACCAATAAATTAGCAGCTTCTCTCAATAGCCCAGCGTCCCATTTCCCCGGTGACCTGATTTCCGGGGGGTCACCCGAGCAGGGCGGCAACCTGGCTGATCGATATACTGCGGAGAAAGGCCTTCTTACCTTCTTCTTTGCACAATGGGCAGCCGCTACTCGAAGGGAAAGGAATCAAAAGTGAGATGATGAAAGAAAGAAAGAAAGAGAAGCCGCGCGTGGGAGTCGCAGCGGAAAGAGTGACGCCGGGTCAGTCGGGGTCGCTCGTTAAGTGAGTTGTGAATTTTTTCTGCCTCCGAGAGACTGACTGCTGACGAGACGATGATGAGTCGGACGAAAGTAAAATCAAGAGAGGTTTGTTTTCGCAGCTAATTCACTTAGGCACTCTACACGAACAGATAATACCGAATTGCAGAGACAAATGGTTGTGTTGTCACACATTTTTTTTTAATAGATGCCAAAAGAAATTGACCGTAAATTTTTAATTAATTTTAAATTTAAGAACATTATTACTTTTATTTATTTAATTTTCCTTGATTTTCTTTAGAAAAATGTTCCTGATATACTCAAAATCTTTGATTAAAATTAAGTTCTTTTTAACTATTATATTATTATATTTAAAATTGAAAGAAAAGACTAAACTAACTATTGGTAAAAATGGACAATGAGGTTTGGCAAAAAAAAGTTAAATCATACAAAATGAAGGCTGTTCCGAGGTGTTCGCAAACAAAAATTATGCATTTGAAATGTAAAAGAATAAAATAAATTTAAAAGTTTATAAATTAAATGTAAAAAAAAAATGAAATTTAATCATTAAATTGAAGGTGTATTTTATTAAATATTCAAAATGTGCCCCTCATTGCAAGAGTAAAAAAGATTAAAGAAGCCCAGCTTCAAATTTATATGATATAATTATAAGTAAAAATTTTATTTAAACAAAACGTAAGAAATGTAATATTCAATCCTTTAAATCATAAAATAATGCTTTAATTTCGGCATGAGTAATAAAAACCAATCAAGCAATCAATAAATTTGCTTTAAAAAAATGTATGCTTCAAATTAAAACTTCCCAAGAAGAAAATTGAAATTATAAAAGGAATTTCTCTATTTTTAGAAGAAACTTGCGGTTTATGTATATCACGGAGGTGATTTCAATGATGGGAACTAACTAAATGAGAGCAAAAGGAGTCGATCGGTGCGCCGCATAAAATGAATAATTGACCGCGGCGAGAGCATAAACCGGCCCCGACAATGGTTGCGACGAGAGAGTGACTCGCCGCAAAGAGATCCAGCAACAATCGGTCTCGCCGCGATTCATAAACGATTGGACAGGACAGGGAACACCAGCATATCTAAATTACAGAACATGAAGGAGGAACGTCCGACAAAGACGATTCAAGTCTTTTCAACAATGCAATTAAATTTTTCTGATTGTGCTGAAAAAAAATATCTAGAACTTGTAGTGTAAAAAATAATTTTTTTTTATAAATCATCAATTTCTTTGGAAATTTCTGAAATTTTAAAAATATTTTTTAATTATTTCCTGTATTTTTTGTTTTTCTTTAATTTTAAACACTCAAAAGTTTTGTTCTCCTGTTTGGAGACACACATACTTTTGTCTTATATTCCAAATTTCTGCTTTTAGCGGGCAAGTGTTAAAAACAACTGCATTTCGGTTGTTCCCTTTCGATTCTCTCTTTTATGAAAGAAGAAAAGGCATTGACGAGCGAGACCGAAGAATGTGACGAGGAAGGAAGGCGAGAACAAGAGTCGGCCGTGTGCACACGTATGTTTACGTACCTGTACTTTTCATTCGAATACACACACACGGCGAGTGACCCAGATAACGTGATTCTACTCAACCTGCCCGCGAAGATATACATTATAGGCATCCTCCGAGAGAAAGAAAGAAAGAAAGACTGCCCCTTTGGCTCCGACAAAGATAAAAGTAGTGCCAAAGGGACAGAAGAAAGTGTACCAGATTCGAGATTCGCGACCGACAGACAGACGGAAAAAAATTATTTCAATGAAAGCCTTTGAATTTTTTTTTACTTCAAAGGTCAACGAAACCAACGGTTTTGAAGAAATTCAATTCCACGCTTGAGAGAGATAAAAATAGAGAATAAGTTCGTCTCCTCATCCACTATTATCCTATTATTATGGTTGGATTCGATAATATTTTTGTGTAAATGATCGCCTGCGTGGATGAGACACGGTGATGATCACCGGACGCTCGGGAACTGGGTCACAAATCGGAGGAAACGATCGACCAGGTAACAAGCTTGATTGAGCTCCAAAACCAGAACAAAATAATTTTTAATAACAGTTAAAAACCAGAGGACCCACGAAAAAAGTAACTGCATTATACATCTCCTCGCCAGAACAAATTACTGTAAATTCATTAATAAAAATTAAATTATATGTTTTGCAAATTTTTTTTGCTTTATTTAATTCTTCGCCATTGATATATCAACTGCTTCTTGTTTGCGAGAGAATGTGGGTTGAAACAGAACCAATAAATTTTGCAAACAACTTCTGCGGCTGCTGTGCTCTTATGTAATTGCACAAGGAATTCGACTGACCTGCTGCTTGCTTCATTTTTTACATTGGGAATCCTCTTTCTCTCTCTTTCTTTGACGCGCAGAGAGGACCGGCCGGTCCCGTTATTAAAAATATAAAAATCAACTCGCCTCCGAACTGATGTTTCGACTCTTATTTAATCCGACAGCACCGAATTAGATACAGCGAGAGAGAATATATGCGTCTCTGTGAATGTAATTAATCGATTCCTCTTGCGAGTGGGCCCATCTTTTACAGTAATAAGCCAACGTGAAACGAGCGGCACTAGCAATTCACGTGGCTGAACAAGTGAAAAAGAACCAAGAAAAAAATTCACAAATTAAATAATAGCTGATGCACAAATATTTATTTTGAAAATATTGGAATGAAAAGCTTCAATCTGAAATTTTGGAAAATAAAAATTACAATTTTAGATTTTAACTAAAATCTTTGCAATTAATTTATTTTACTGATTGATTAAAAATTAACTGTTTGGAGAAAAATAAAATGCATTGAATCGATAACTTTATTGAAAAAATAACAAGTGATTTATTTTTATTACTTTCTCTGTACAATGATGAATTGAATTGGTCATATTTTTACCTTCTATATTGAGTTACTTATTGTTAACGTTATATCATATTTACGTTTCTTTAACTTTTTCTGCTTATTTTGATTCGCTTTATGAGCAAATTACTCTCAGCCTTCTGTGTCCATTATGACGACATTGT